TGAGCATTTAGCATTGTTTAAAGAGTAATAAGTGTAAAAACAATAATGATATTAATTGCGTTATTTGCCAAATTTGGTTGATCATTCAATGAATAAAATATTTCCCATACCGTACGTCATCGGAGTTATTATTAGTATGTTATATGGTATCTCTTCCTTTGGAAGAACCTTTAAATAGTATTAAAATCGTATTGGTGGATCTTTTGTAGTTAAACACTTAGTGTAAAATGATTTTATTTCAAAGAGAAAATTTTATTTGGGCACATATTCTAACTTCAAAGGGAGGTATATCCATTCAGTGTAAGTTTGATTTTTCCTTCGTCACGTCGCGTCAGTTCATATCGTACTTCTGTGCCAATGAATGAACCCTCTAGCCATAGTTTTGAGAAATTGATTGTGGGGTTACTGTTAAAGCTGGAATTCCTTGATATGTGGGATGTCAGTTAGTTGTCCCAGCCTTATCTATAACATAAAGTTGTCAATATAATCTCTCTACGGAATGTTAGGTGTAGTGGAATACTTGAAGTGAAGTTGGCTTTTATTCTTGAACTGTTAGGGGACTCCTAGTTCATATGGTCTTGCGGCTTCATTGGCAACAAATAATGCAAATCACATATAGCAATGGGACATTTCCAAAAAAGCAAAAATACTGTAAATTGGTTGTTACGTATATATTGATGTTTACATATTGTTAATCAACGTTATAAGGGATTATGTGATCTAGTTTAAAAGGAATATGACCTTTCTGTCATGACAGTAGGTGCTTAAATAGTATTTTCTCTTTGTACCATATTTTACAGCCAAAATGTCGTGTTATTTTCAATAATGTTACCAACCCAGTGTGCCAAAGTTCGTAATATAGGCAGGTGCAAATAATTTCTCAAGATGGATACCATTTTAGACAAGGGTTTCTTTCTATGTTTGGATTTTATTAGACACGATAACACCATATATTTATACATCAATATTTGATATGTGTAGAATAATATGATAAAATGTAGGCAAAAGAGATGAAAAAGACAGACACCAACCCGTACAATATAGATATAAGATAGTTCAATAAGAAATAATTTAAGAATTGCTGTGATAAAAGGATTTTCCATTGATTTCGTAATGGAATGTTATATTGCAAAACACGACGTGATAAAGAAGAAAATCAATTTTAAAATCAAAAAATAACATTGCAAATACTTCCTTTGGATAATTCAGTAACTCCCAATGTGTTGTTTGAAATAAAATTTTAAAATGAACAGAGCTGTTTCATTAAAAAGTATTATTCACCTGGCCAAAATGTAAACAACTCTGTGGAGGGATCTTTAAAGGCTTCTGAAGGGATTTTGCTTAGTTTTTCTTTTGATAACTCATCTACAGACCAAGACCTTTCTTTGGACACCTCTACCAAGTTTCTACATCCAGCCGTTCTCTCAAATTAGTGGGACAAAGTTTCCAATTAAATATTTTGATTCCCCCATGTTAATCTTATCGGAGAAACTCCAACTTTGATGGCCCTGTGGGGCAAAGCCCAAGGATTTTTATTACCGGAATTGCTGAAAGGGGGCGTCTACATGTAAAAATACTTTATTTTAACACGTCGTTTGTAAAAATCCGTCCTTTATTAACGGAGGAGTAGTGTTTCGTAGACATCGCCTTCACGTATTATTTATAAGGATTTTAGGATAAGTTTATCTTTTATGACAGTTCTTGGCAATATTATCTACTTTTCAAAAGGAAATCAATATATTTCAATAAATCCCATCCTAGCAGATAGGGTCCTACCTTGTTCTTTTACTAGCATATAATTTAACCCTTTAAACTCCATATAATTAGGCGATTTTTTATTCCTATTTTATTATGATTCCCCTCGTCTTATGAAGATTGAAAGCCAAATTTGAAAACGTTATGGTAGACCTACACTGTCACATTAAGGCATAAAATAAAATAAAAACTGCAAATTGTTTGATCACAGGTGCACCTCAAGAACTCACCAATCCTGTAAACTTCTAAAAGAGGTTTCCACTCTTTAATTTGGGTGAGCCTCTTCCATTAATCTCTGCCACAGAACTCATGAGATGCAACCAGATTGGAGCAAGATGGGATTTGACCCTCAGTGCACATGATCCTTAGGCCCCTTTTATATTCTGCGGCGCCACACGCCCCTGCCTTCGACGGCGGGCGCCGCATGTTTGTGCAGCAGCCATGGCATTGTTGGGGCTATCAGGGCTACCAACTTAGGAATTTCCCACAACACCACTAGTGTCGATTTGTAGTGAGTGAGAGATGGCTGGGCTTCTTGATCCAGTTGTTTTGGCCTACATGTTATTTAGACTAAGACAAAGAGACGTCGGAAAATACGCTGGTATATCCATCCCATCAACCAGGCAAGATCCAACGATGTTGCTTTTATTTAGGAACTTGTTTTATCTTTTACTGATGGTGACCAGTTCTTCACCATCAATCTACCCTGTCAATGTTGACTTCAGTCATAGTAGGTTCTGACATTTTGTATGCACAAAATTTGCAAACTGATGGTTAGAAAAGAAAAACAAAACCACCTACCACTCTGGCAACATAAAGTGAAATGAGGGAGGCAAGGCAATACCATGTTCGGCTGAGTATGTTTTGATCATTTGGCAGCACTTGACAGCCACAGAGTAAAAGGGGGTCTTGGACCACTCAATCTTTCATCTCACTTAAGAGTCAATCACACTAACAACAATGGTCAACCAAAAGCCCAGGTGTATCAGCATTCAACTTTACCCTCAGGTATATAGCTTACAGGCGTTTTAGTCATTCATGTGGAAGATTGGTTATATGTTAGCCTTGCATTAATTTTTTATAGCTCAAAAAGAAAAGGCAGAACGCAGAAAAAACGGTCAAAACCGGAATTAGTTGCCTTACAAAAACTGCAATGAGGTCTGTAAACATAAGAAGCAAGAAATGCACAACAGTTACATGAAAATGCATACTGCATACTGTACTAAAAAAGTAAATTAGGGTAAATATACCTGATTAAATCCAACAAGTTATGAGGTGGAAAACTTGGGAATAGCTAAATTTCAGAGCCCCATGACCACAAATCAGAAAACTACACTGTGTTGACATTTAATGGGAAAAGTTGAATAAAGGCAGACAAGTATTTAAAGTTGTACTTTAATTGTCACTAACATTATCTGTTTACAATACCTACACGGGATATAATATGTAACAATAAAATATATACAAAGTTTGACACTTGTGATACACAAGCAAAAAATCTAATTTGTCCTGTTCATAGAACAAGATTGTTGGTTCTTCATACAACATGAATAAATACTTTTATCTACATAGGAAAAACGATTTATCATATTATTTACATAAGTTATTTGATAAATACATCGATTCACGAATATACATCGAAAACATTTATGTAACAAAAAAGCAAGTTGGTACATACTTATACAGCTATGTATTATTTAAAGTTGTAAAATTAGGTATATCAAAAAAATACATTCCTAAAACACGACCAAAGCAAGTTGACTGTGGAACTTAAAAATCTACAAATAAATCACAAAAAAGCATGTCAAAATGCATTACAATGCTGAAATTGTGTTTGGTTAAAGATGCTTAGGAAGTCTAAAAGTTGACATGCCTCCAAAGTGTTTGTAAATAAAATATGTGAATTTATAACACACAAGCATTACACGTTCTTTAGGTAAATAAATAATAAAATACAATAAAACATTGATATACCTTCACTCTTATAACATTCAGTATCTGTCATCTCAAAAATGTGTATATTATCGTTGCTAATAATTTACAGTGAATCATAGACCAAATAAAACAAGACTTCTCATCCCATTGTAAATTTTGAAGCTCGTTTTACATGCCTAGTTCATGTACATCGACACTGATCGCTTGTGTCGACAACATTTTGTTTCTATTATTCTAAGGTTAATATAATGATTTGTACTTTACTGTTTGGTTATATAATTCGGGGACGTGTTGTTGTTTATGATTAGACCGTTTTGTTTAGTTAAACAAGGTTTAAATGCCTGAAATAACAAGTAACAAATTGTAAACTAACCTGACTTCTACAGTGCATCGGTCAGAACTAACAGTGAAATTGGCTTCAGCTGTCGAATGTGATGTTGGAGTCGTGTTTTGTTTACAATTTGTTTCTATTATTTTAGGGTTAGTTTCTTAGGATTTGTGCCTCACTGTTTGGTCATAAAGCTAGTGGACAAGTTATTGTCTATGATTAGATAGTTTTATTTGGTTTTCTTTTAGCTTACAGAATGTTCCTAGTTTGTCATTTATTTGATCAAATTATAACAACCCCTCGAGCCACAATTTATGTTTTAAGGCTTACAACAAGAATAAAATATTAGGCCTTGTAGTAGTCAAAACATATCAGTACAACAACTGGTCCACAAGCTCCAGTGATGCCAACTTATTTTCACAAATACACAACCTTGCCTTGTTGTTGCCTGTAACTGTTTTGGTGTTGATAATCTGGAGTGCAGCAAAATAAAAACGAGTGCACAAACTCATAGCATCCTCTATTTTATGTGTGGGAATCAATTAAAAAAGTCTTTTCAGGCATTTGGAGAAAAAATTACATAAATAGCAAAGAATTCAAAATAATCTAATGTACACAACCAAGTTCTTTGGATCAGATAAGATGGATGATTTTGAAAATAAGTTCCCAATTACCAAATACATACAGTAATTAACTTACCCAATAAAACTATGTCAACAACTAAACAAGTTTATTTTACAAAAAAGTTAAACAACTTTTTTATTAATCAAAAATGTGGAAGAAGATTGACAAGTTATGTAACAAAAAGTGTAACACAGTTCAATATTTTATATTAGAATATTTCAAAGTGCACATATTTAGAGTATATATAACTCATAACATGCATGCAAATAGTGATGACTTTCAGTCTTCAAAGTTGTCTAACAAATAAAACCAATTTCTCATAAGAGAAACAAGAAGTTTCCAATAAACACATTAACAATTCAAAAACTATATTTTTGTAAAAATACTAGACAGAATTGAATACAAATAATGTTAAGATTTACACATTCTCTCACTTATAATTAATTTTGGTCAAACAAAAACGTAGTAAACATTATACAACTTTTTTATCTTATGTCAAATAAGCAATATTCGACTTGTATAAGAAGTAAATATTAAATCACTCAGTTAAAATCATTCACCAAACACAAGTGCAAAATGATAACAGATTCAAAGTAAAAATTGATTTAAACAACCAATCAATTCAAAATAAATAAAAATGTTTTCTATTATTAATGTGTAACTGCAAGATTACGGACAGGTAATGTAACCTCTTTTAAAACTGTATAGAAGTTTAAACTTATTGCTAATAGGATCACAGAGGCAGCTTTTCATTCTTCAAAAATCCTGAAAAAATATAAAATTCAATATTATTTTACTTTTCTATGTCTTATGTTTTTTTTAAAATGTTTAAAAAAGTCTACACTAAAGCCAAAAGATATGTTGGTTCCTACAATAGTCTGTCGATTTACTGGCATAACCTCAGAATTAAAGCAACACTAAACTATATTAAAAATATATCATAAGAAAAATAATATTACAACTTGAGGTAAGCCAGCTTGAGATTTTGTGGCACCCGCTTGTAAAGACATTTTAAAATAGGCCTACTTAAAATCTAGCAATATTTGAAATAAATCTTACTTTCAATGAATGGCACTTTGCAGAATATGAATGTTTGGTTTGGTCTTATGTTCAGGTTCATCTTCTTCGTCTTCATCAAATCCAAAACAATTCTGCATGTCATTTTGTTGAGGAACTGCTTTTGGCTGACTAAGCAACACCTCCTCATTGTCTGATGCTGCAACATTACGCATAAAAAAATGTAGATAAAAGAAAATAGTTACATGTTGGTAAACATTTCAACATTACCAACAACTTTAGTAACAATAACATCATCAGATTCACTGATACAGTAGACGCTCGCTTACATGGTCTTCAATAACACAACAACCTTGATTACAAGTGCACCGTTCATATTCGCCATTTAATTAACCTCTATGACAGTTTTATTTCTAGTAAAAAACCTCGATAAAACACCATTTTTTTTATCACAATGTAATTCAGAACCTCTAAGTCATTTTGAGAACTCAACCTCGATGACACAACTGTATTGATCAGTTACCTGAGCATTAATTCAGAGGAAACATTGTCAATTCCATATAAAACAATTATACATCTGTAACAACACCTCGATCCATTACGCAAAAATGCAAAACGCCAGTGCTTTTAACTAAACGTACACAATTCACTAACCTTAACTAAACTTTGTTACACAATGTTAACAGTACTTTGCTATTAAATATCATTTTAAAAATAAACTTGTTGGCATAAACGTTTCTCTGAAATCTCATTAAAAATATCATCAGTTGTTTTATTAACCTTGATAACATGCCTGACAGCTGAATGACATTGATAACACAACTTTTAATCAGATGCACATTGATAACAAAACTGTTTTCTGCCCTTCTTATCAAGGTCCTACTGTCTCAATATACAGTAGTGCAGAAATTCACTTGTTTCACTAGGATTTTGATTGTTTAGAACGTCAGGCTCTAAAAGTTTTAGTTGTAGGAAAAGAATGTTGATTCATAAATCTCTATAACTAGGGCACAGCTTAGAAAGAAGATTCTTGTAGTCAAAGGTCCTAGAGAAGAGACATTCAAGAAACATTTAACACGACTGATACCGCACTCGATTGTTGAGCCAAGCCGAGCCTAGCCAGATTGCTTGAGTGACAGAGCACCACTTCACATAATCGAGCTCAAGCTGCAGCCTTTTCTATCACAATATCATCATTATTACAGAACGAGTTCTCTTATGACTGTGCAATGAAAAATTTCCACTGTGCCTCGATCGGGAGAGACGATGGTGACTTTTCCGTGATTGTGGGAGACAAGAAAGATGTTTAGAATTTTTCCTACAGTCACCCGACAAAGTTGGCTTCCCTGTACTGTTTATAGTACAGAAAGCTGCAAATTGCTGCATATTTATACTTTGCCGTACGGTTTATACTTTGCCGTACGGTTTATACTTTGCCGTACGGTTTATACTTTGCCGCACATCAGGATTTCAACCAAACAACACAAAACAGCGTGGTTTTATTATGCACGTAATCCGTGTACGCTTGGAAATAGGTTGGCAACACTTAAAGATAATAATTCTATGAGCAGCTGATTGACTATTATAACTACGATTTAACCTGTCATTTTGTGTTTATAGTTTTGGTATTTCTGAACTTTCTGGACTTTTCTTTTAAACGTTTTTAAAACATTCCTACGATCTTAATAAACAAGAAAATACCTTTAAAGCATTTTTTTAGGCGCGGAAACCACTTCAAATTACAAAAACATACGGAACTATATTCTCAAAACGCGGAGCACATTTCTTGCCGAGGAAAAATAGCGGAGTGATACGGACGGCGGGTACTACTTTCTCTAGGGCACCATTTGTGTTGCCAGCTGAACCTAAAAACGTGTTGTATAGTGTTTGAAAGACTAATTATTTATATGCTTTATAGTGACTGTAGGAAAAATATAATGTGTAACACGAGTGAAAAAGGCCTTTGCTGCACTCGAGATCATTCCTGCTCTCGTGTGCAGCAAAGTGCCACTTTCACCACTAGTTACACAAATAACTATTGTTTGTTATTATTTAGAAATTTGCACAAATGATAGTCTTAAAAGCCTTTATAGGGTCCCTGAAAAACCGTTGATTGTCAAAAACTGTGACTTATTGACTACTCTCATACTCACAATGGTGGTCAGAAGTGATGTGCTGATTCAACACCTGGTTGTTGTGTACCAGAACAGACGTGTTCTGACCTGTCTGCTGCTGTAAAGCTGCGACAGCTTGCTCAATACCTTCCCCAGCCATCACTGCCACCGCCTGCTCCTGTCCATCGCTGTCCTGAAAAGTCATCAAACATCTGGTCAGCTTTTGACACGAGTCATATTGAATTAATGCATGTTTGGTGAAATACAAATAAGTAGCCTATTATTGTTAGGTGAAAAAAACAGCTGATTATTTGGCAAAGGTGTTAATATGGATGGAACTCGGTAACGATTGGAAACTAACCTTTTTCAATGAAGCCTATAATTCCTATTTAAAAACAAAAGCCAACCATTCATAATTATTTCTCATACTAGTGTAGGCCTATTCGAAACATTTTAGATGAACCAATTTTTTTTAGTTTTACGCGGTACAGTTATTTTTTGTACATATAATTAGAGTTATTATCTAATATTGACTGTAACTTGGGTTTAATAGCACAATGACAAATAACATATTGGTTCAGAATAAGGCATGATTTTTTAAATTTAAAATTTTGAATGGGTTGCATGTAATTTAAATCAACCCAGCAACCTTTTAACTTGGAAGCACTATAACCATGGTTAGATGTTAGTTTAATCAAACTTCCACATTTTTTCTATTGAAGGCATTTTATAAAATGCACTTAAAAACTGATAGTAACAAAATATAGTTGGAAGACAGTTTACCTGAAGTTGTATAACTTCCAACACAACGTACTGTTGACCGTCAGCTCCCTCCATAGACACCATGGATCCGTCCATCTCATCCTCCTCGTCTTCATCATCCTCCCCTGGCATCACCTCAACCTGGGCAAGTGTATCGTCATAGGTATAATTATCTGACCATCACAAAAAAAATTCTTTTTGTACAACCTTACTCACTTAATTTCCAGACTATAGCCAAAATTAAAGTAGGCCTAAAGTAATTTGAATGTGATTACTTTCGAACGCAAACGCTCATTATCAATTATCAATCATTGAGATGGGGACGCTACCTAGGTGTGTATTTTAACCCAAATATGAGTGAAGAATGGTGTGAGATGATCTGTGTAGCTCTGTTACTAACTAAGATCAGCTGTTTCATTAACTAGGATAATTGATTTTAGAGGGTGAAATAAACTGTAAAATATTTACAAAGATCCAAACAATGCCTTGGATGAACTGAAACTTTGTAATTGTTTCTTTAAGTACCGTATTCAAATAATTAGGGATGGACGGGTCCCGAAATTTCGGGAATTTTTCGGGAAAAAAATATTCCCGATTATCGGGACGGGATTACATTTGACTCGGGAATTTTTCGGGACGGGATTTGGTCCGATCGTCGGCAATTTTTCCGCTTCGCGAGTGCCGATAACGCCGTTATTGCTAGCGATAGGTCCGCGAACGCAGGAGACGAAGTCATTTCGACGATTACGCCGTGACCGCGGAGTCATAACGACGATCGCGCTGTGGCCGCGATTATTGGACCGACGATCGCACCGTGACCGCGAGTCATAACGACGATCGGGCTGTGACCGCGGAGTCATACCGACAGTCACGCCGTGACCGCGGAGTCATAACGACGATCGCGCCGTGACCGCGAAGTCCTACCGACGATCACGCTGTGACCACGAGTCATACCGACGATCACGCCGTGACCGCGGAGTCCTACCGACGATCGCGCCGTGACCGCGAGTCATACCGACGATCGCGCCGTGACCGCGGAGTCCTACCGACGATCGCGCCGTGACCACGGAGTCATACTGACGATCATGCCGTGATGGCGGAGTCATGCTCACGATCGAGCCGTGACCGCGAGTCATGTTGACGATCGCGCCGTGACCGCGAGTCATACCGACGATCGCGCCCGTGACCGCGAGTCATGACGACGATCGCACCGTGACCGTGGAGTCATACCGACGATAACCCCGTGACCGCGGAGTCATACCGACGATCGCGCCGTGACCGTGGAGTCATACCGATGATAACCCCGTGACCGCGGAGTCATACCGACGATCGCGCCGTGACCGCGAGTCATGACGACGATCGCGCCGTGACCGTGAGTCATACAGACGATCACCCCGTGACCCGCGAGTCACGACCAACCTCATTTTTTGGTTTTTATAGATCAGTGCCACAAATGGTAAAAATTGATTTTGTATGTCTTTTTTGGTAACTGCTATACAGTACTTTCTTTTTATGCACAGAAAAAAATCCCGTCCCGTCCCGTCCCGAAAATCGGGAAGGAAATACAAATCCCGTCCCGTCCCGTCCCGAACTATAAATTCAATCCCGTCCATCCCTACAAATAATAATTTTGAAAATCCGTAAATTAGTCTTTTTCACATGTTATTTTGCTTCTAAATAATAGTTAAACATTAATTAAGAGCACAAAAAGCACACAATCGTTGGAAACAAATTAGTTTTAGAGTGTTGAGAGCTTGTATCGTAGAGGCATGTTTAGAAACATTAGCATGCTTGGCTGCCATCTTGAATTGATTGGGTAGAGCCCTCTTAACACGTTCGCTGCTGACCGCTAGATGCCGGGAACGGTGCAAGGAGCTGAACTAACGCTCGCCGCTGCGTAAACATTGCTGCCGATACACTGAATTACAGTAAAAACAACAGTAGTAATACTGGATGGCAATGTTTTGCAATAAACCTGGCTTTAGACATAGTACTAAGTGATTCTGATAGATAGCATCACTACCTAGGTTGCAGTCGGTAAAGTAGTGTCGCTTTCTAGCAGGAAAGAGGTGGGACAAAGCCCTGTTCTAAACGACCCTGGTGGTAATTTTGGGAAACTATGTTTTTTATTGTCAGAAAAGTACGTCCCCACAAGCTGGAAAGAAATATAGGACGCTTGTGACGAGCTGGCTGATTCATGGCAATAAACGGCGACGTTCCGGAACGTTCCTAGCTCCTGGCGCCGTGGCCCCGGAACGTCCGTAGCAGCGAACGTGTTAAAACCCAATGATAAGGAATAATTTGGTCCAGTTTAAAACCATCAAAAAGCTACTAACTTTTCTCAGGATCGATCCAGCGACCTTTATAATACATTTATAAATCTAAATTTTTGCTCTATAGTAGAACCTCGAACTAACAAGTCTCTCATGGGGATTATCAAATAAAAAATTTTATCAAGGTTGACTTCTTATCGAGGTTTGACATAGCCTAATATGTTTAACGATAATATAAAATTGGGGGTACTTCAAAATGACACTTGTCAAAGAGGGTGTTGTTATTGAGGTATTCTGACTGAACATTGAAAATGACACACTTGAAGGAGAGTGTAACTAACTAACACCTTCTTCACACTAACCTGTTGGCCGTCTATAATTTGTATCTTTTTCTGCCGCCCTATCTTGAGGGCAACCGCCTTCTCGTGGGCCGAGGACTCAGGGTCATGCACGGACATGTGTCGTATGAGGTTGCCCTTGTGTCTGAACGCCCTCTGACACTCGGGACATTCGTGTGTCTTCTCTCTGGGGGGCGGAGGGATGTAGTTGGGGTTGTGGTACAGGTTCTGATGCCTCTTCAACAACTGCTTCTGGCGGAACGACTGTAAACCATCATAAAACAATGTTGAACAGTTTTCATGAGGCCATAGCATAGATAGAATCCAAATCTCAGCTTATTTCCTGTGAAAATCACAGTCCAAAGGTTTCAGAGAACATAAATAAAAAAATATTACTCAATAGTAACATTTTGTTCAATTCTCAATTCTACGCTCACAATTCAGTAGCCTATATGTCTCGGGAGACAGAGGTGTTATTAAAATTACAAGAGAAGTATGAGTCCCAAAATTTTTTGAAAAATATATATTTTTTTAAGCATGATGGGGGGAGATGACCAAGATTTACCTCTTTTTCGGGAAAAGGTAAAATGTCCCTGCAACCACGGAAAACAATAACAAAATTGCCTCAATCACAGATTACGGTCTTGATGACATAGACAAAGTACTGTATGTAGTCCTAGTTCAAAACAGCCTGGTTCACTGATTCGTTGTCGAGAGTGAGTGACAAGGAAGGCTTGTCAACCACTGTGAAGAGTTATTAAAAAGGTAAGTAATTAATATCTAAATTAAAAGTCTAGAAATCAAAAAATGATACGGACCTTGTCTGATATTTCACAGCCACTCTGGAAAAGGCACCATTTCATTACTTGACACATTAGGATTTTATATTCTATAAAATTATAAAATCATAAAATCCATAATTTTTCATATGCACTGAATTTTATAAGGTAGCCAATATAATTTGAAAGAAAATAAAAATGTAAAATTTTAAATTGGCTAAGATTTAACAAGTTACGTTAAATTATTAACAGGTAGACTTTTTAACTAAGTTGCTTAAACTGTAAAAGGGGAAACAAATATTTTTATATTTTTTTAGAATCTAAGTTGTTAAGTATATCTCAGGTCAGATATAAGAATTTTATTTAATAAATTGCAATAGGCCTAATTTAGATTGTGCCACATAAGACACACAAAAAAGAAAAGTTGGTGCATATTAGAAGACATGTTTCCAAAGTGACTGAATTAGAGAAGCAGAAGTTTTACAAAACAGAAAATGTACTTGTACATTTAAACAACAATAAAAGTATGAATGGAGGAGGTGATGAATAAAAAAAATACTTACATCTCTGTTTTTTGAAGGGTGATGACTATGTGGGCATATTTATTGGTTAGACGTCATACAATGAATGAGTAAATGTGTAAGTGAGAGAAGTAGGCTGGTGAATAAGTGCATGTGGTTGTTAAGGATGTCATGAAACTGTTTCTTGGAAGTGTTATGAATAGTCTTGGAAAAACTACCAGTACCGAGAGTTGCCATGAATGTTGGTATCAGTACTTTGAGACCTTCCAATAACTTATTGGCGGTCCCACCAAACATTGGAAAAACTATCAAGGCAACATTCATAAGCTAATGTTGCGATCAAGTCAACACTGTACCTAATCATCTCCCGCGGTTGAGAAGCATCATCTTAATTATCTACCAACACAGTTTTCTGACTTGATGCAACAACATAAAAAGAACTGACAAAATGCCAGGTCCACGTTTCTTGGTCCACATACAGTTTACAGACTTTTTTCAGGTAATCAAAATATACCCAAAGTCACCAGTTTCATGATCGGTTGATTAATGAATAAGACTGACTTGTTGACATACCTGGTCACACTTGTCGCACTGGTAAGGTTTCTGGTCCGTATGTATCAACATGTGCGAGTCTAGATGTCTCTGAGATACTGAAGCGTACGGACACAACTCACACCTCCAACACTTCTCACCTTCATGTGATTTGTTGTGAACCTGTTCAGAGAGAAACATGTCAGTAAAACTGCAATCTACAACTTACATATAGATAATCAAATTAATATACAGAATACGATCAGCAAAACCTTGTTTTCCCAGTAGTCAACCAGCCTTTATTAATGGAGATTTACAGGTCCCAGATGTTTCTGGGTTTGGCCGCGTGAACAGTTGGCCCCAAGGGATCCGTTTGGACCGACAAAGATTATAGGGCCAAGCTTGGGTCGAGTTAAGCAGAGCCGAGCGTTTATTTCCGCGTTTAACGATTGAAAAATGTTGATTTTGTAACGATCGCAGATGATGTTTGGTTTTCCAACAACTGTAGATGATAAAGATGTCCTAAGGACCACAGAAGATAATCAAAATTTTTTTGTAATCTGGGAAGATGTTCACCATTAAGTTGTTAATGCAAAAGATATTCTAATTTTAATTTTTTACTGTGACCAAGGAAGATGTTCCAGATTTTGCCATGACAATGGAAGAAGTTCAAGATTTTGCTGTAAGAAAAAGACCACAAACGTATGGCCAATTATTTAAAAAGTAAATGTGGGATGAAATCACAGGCGGCAGATTGACGGTCTGGACGAGCATTTGCTATAACTCGCACATTCTTTTTTCACCTCCACCTAGTTCCTAGTTCTTAGTTCTGTTCCTTCTAAGAGGTATTTAAGCCACTATTATATTCGTACAAAAAGTTATTCAAAACCTTACAACATGAAAATGCAACCATCCATTCAAATGCAGGCTGCACTTCTTCTTACAGAGGAGCCTCTACATTTAGGACATAGGCCTACTGTTCACTAATCAACAAATCTCTGAGGGTTAGGGGATGAAGCAAAAATCTCACTGATGGTGTTCTTAAGGACTTAAGTTTCCTTAAAAAATGTTTAAGGGCAACCAATTTATTTTTCGACACTTAACAAAAGGTTGTTGCATAACTCACAGCGTGTATGTATGTACCATACCTTGTAGGTGTACCTATCCGGGAACTGTTTGCCACACCGTTTGCACCGCAGAGGTTTGTCAGACGTGTGCAACTTCTGCACATGAATCCTGAGATCTGTCTTTCTCCCACATGTAGCTGGGCACAGCTCACAATGGAACACTGGCTTGTCTCCAGCTGTAATATTTACACAACTTTAATTACCAAGTCATGCCTTTGATTATATTTTTAAAATTTTGTTTTTAGAGGAAAGAGCACTTGGCTTAGAAAGAATGAATGAATCCATGTCACTAACTTAGCTAAGAAAAGAGTTGCAAGCAGTTCATGGCACACAAATGTTAACACCACAATTACTAGAGCCTATGCTACTCGTATTTCGCTTCTCTAAGGAAGCTCCATCAGATGGAAAAGTAGGGCTTTCTTGATTGTGTTTTGAAGATTTTGTGTGCTATCAACTACCTGGAATTCTGTTCTTTGATAAATTAGTTGGGTATCCAGTCCTTTCCTCAATATTATTGAAAGAATGTTTGTTTGTCAAGATAAAATAATCTTGTTAAATTAAAGCATTACTCCATAGATGTACCTTATCTGTATTGGATCAAAATCTAGCCTCAGCCCTTTGCTTTCTCCCTGAGGCCTTCACAAGTTTAATAATGTTAATGGGAGTGTAACTTTTCCGTAGATTCACTGCCACTATGTTTTTTTTTTCGTTTTTTTTCAGGTTTAAATAGGTTGAAAGAAGTTATCTAGTTTAAATATCGTAAATTTCTAAACCCTGTTTATGATTAGGTTATTTTAGGTTGGGGATTAGAACCACAACATAACTGAAACTAATTGTGTTTTGTTGCATACAAACTATACACTGGTAGTAAATTAACGGAAAGGGTCGTCAAGTAACAACATTTAAACTAATTTTCTACTTATTCTCACTTTTGCCAGGAGTGAAAGGGAATGTTAGTCTAGTTACCGCTATGGATGAGTTTGTGAGCTTTGAGGCTGTTGGACTGAGTGAAGCGGGCGTGGCAGATGTCACACTCATACGGCTTCTCCCCCGTGTGGATCCTGAGATGCCTCTTGAGTTTAAACGTGTCAGGACTTGCGTACGTGCAGTGTGGACACTGTCAAAACACATTGATGTGTTAGTTAGATATAGTTGTATACAAATAAGCATTTTAGTTGTATACATGGCTGGGCTGAAATAATACTCCCTTTTTTCTAAGGCAGATCCTAACTCTCAATTTCTCAAAACCTTCAATCCCAGTTGAATCAAGGAATCATCAACTCTACATACTCGGTGATATATTCATAATGTGCCTCCAGGATTGATTAAATAACATAAATAAGGTTACTGACCTGTTAACAATCAATCCTATTGATTCTAGTTCAATTACATACAACTAATTGTACCTAAAACGTAACACAAACATTTAATTTAACTAGCCTAATTGTAACATTAAACGTAATGCCATGTTGATTAATTTGAACAACTCGAGTCTACGCACAGACCACTGAGGTCCATGAAGACTCATTTCCGTTAGATTAATAATTGCTAGCTGAAGCAATACATTTCAATTAGTACTTAAGATTCTACCTTTTTAAATTAATTTTTTAATTTAACTTTACCTCAAATTTCAGGAACTATTTTATGTAAGTGCCTGAAGACTTATATCTTTGTATTTTATTTTTGAAAAAAATTATTATTTTATTTGTATATTATTGTGGAAATAAATCTGATTTCATTTAGTGGATCCACTGCACTTGAGGTCCTATTGAATCCACTAGATTCAATATTATTGATTGACAACAGATCAGTAACTTAATTTATGTTATAATCTGTGACTTTTAATTATTTAGTACAAGATTTTAGTTAATATCTACATCTTTGAAAGCATTATAACATTATTCAATTTCTGCAGTCGCATAAAAATTGCGAGTATCTCCAGTTTTCCGTGGCTCTGTAAATTTAGACTCTATAAACTTTACACACGCCTTTTTTAATTTAGAATGCCCATCTTCCAACCAGTTATTCTTACTCCGCCAAAATAAATGAGAAATAAGTCTCTAAAACTTTTGTGAATTTTCAAGTTCTAAACGTCCTTCTTTTAAATGGGCAATCTTCGAACTGCCAGATCAACTAAGGCATCCTTTTTGGTGCAAGTCCTTTTGGTAAAAAAATTTTGATTTCTTATTATTAGACTGAAAACATCAGGCTAAATGATATTCTTTTAAACTTATCACTTTGACATAGGCTTACCTGGTAAGGCCGCTCGCCCGTGTGACATCTCATGTGATTCCTCATCTTGCTAAGTTCAACACTCGCGTACTCACAGATGGTGCACTTGTGAGGCTTCTCGTGAGTATGTTTGTATCTCACATGTCTCACTAATTCTCCTGTCAACAAAAGCATACAGTAGAACCTCTTTAATCCGAACCCCCGTAATCCGAACGTCCACTAATCCGAACCCCTCATTGCTGTACTCTATACACAGTAAAGCAGTTCTTTATTGTATACTGTATTTAATGTAAAGTACTGTTTATTCATCATGTTTACTACTGTATTAAATAAACACTGTAATTTAATTTATAAAACATTTTTTTCACTTTTTCCAAAATAATTTAGATCAATTTTAGCCATGTTTTAGCTATTGTTATGTAAAAACAACAATATGTTCTGTAATCTGAACTATTCACTAGTCCGAACTACCCCTGGCCCCAATTAGTTCGGATTAAAGAGGTTCTACTGTATATGGTTTAAAGTGATCAATTATTGATTTCAGCTATTTCCCTTATGTTTTCCCCTAGTTTCTCATGATTTCCTTCAGGAAATTGCTTTGATTACTTATTGCAAAAAAATTTGTATGATAATTTTATGTTAAGCATCAACTTTGTCAAAAGACAAAAAGCAATAATTTTCATTGTCAATTCTTTATCACAATAAATCATCACATAAGCGAATATTCTAATACACATAATAACTTGAACAAAAATTAATAGAGATCTGCAGAACAAACAAGTAATCATTGAGCAATCAATACTGTATCATATAAGTTTATAATTTAACTCGATTAAAAATTGATAGTATCGTAACATTTTTCTTAAAAATGCAATTTTTAATTCAATGAGAAATGTTAAGTAGTATAATAAGTCTGCACGAATTAAGACCATAGTATGTTTTACAAATATTTGCAGAATTCCATGCATAGGCCAGACAGAGGTAAGGTTACCTCTTGATTGTATCCGTACCTGAAGTGGTGAATTGGCTTTCACAGTATTTACAACGGTGGGGCTTGGTGCCTGTGTGAGTGTTGACATGGTTCTGTAGCGACGCCAGTGTCTTGAAACCTCTCTCACAAACGCTGCACTTGTGTGGACGCTCCTCCGAGTGAGACTTCATATGTCGTGACAACAGGTACCTGTAAATCAATCAACTAAGTGTCCAGGCAGTTATCTATTTATTTTTGCCCCACACACAGTTCCTACTGAAAATGTTTAATTAAAAAAAGCTACAGCTAATTAATTTTCAGCAAATAAAATAGAAAAAGAATTGAACTGGGTGAATTCTTAACAGTTGTGTAATATTTTACAGAGTTACACTGAATAGATTTTTTTTAGAATTGTAGGTTTGTGCAAATGGTAAGGAGTTCATTTTGGCTCAATCAACACATACTACACACTATATGTACCAACATTTTTAAAATAATGTTAAGTCACTGACAACCTTTTAAACCAAGTAAAAAAGGTTTGAGCTGGGTACAAAGATGTCTCTAACACATCTTCTGTCTTCAACTTTCTTTCCAAAGTATTTAAAAATTCTGTCAGTGATAAGGAGTTACCTCCCTTGTGCTCTTACAATCCTTACAATCTTACCTGAATGGAAATTATATCCTGGCATAATAAACACAAACACTTTACCACATTCACTACCCCGTCACACAAGAGTCCTCATACAGAAATGTGTGAAGGTCGGTAGGCAAAGTGTTTGTGTCAGGATGGACTCTTTCCCATTCTAATAATCGTTCTTACAGAGTAGGTTTTGTTGAGAAGATGAATTATTATTGTTGATTAAATGAATAGCCAGTAAATAATTAAGGGACTGACAGTTTGGTTACAAACCTGTGTAGCTGGTGCACTTCACACAATCACAACTAACTCATAACTAACAGTATGGTTAGTCAACACTGACTTGAGAATACTATAGAAGCTATACCATCTGTTTAGACCTGCTGTAACATATCCTGAATTCCAATAGAACACAGTTCAAATTTTAATTTTGAGAAGGGAAGATTTTATTTTAGTAATGCTTTTAGTAATGCACTGTAGTTAAATCACAATAAATGCCACCCATTTAAAGTAGATAAGTGCCAATACATGGCAAAACTATGTCTTTGAAATAGCCATGTTTATTACTAATTTAGTCCATCCACAAAATTTAGGTGGTTTAAGGGGTAAGATTTCCTGAGATCCCCACAACTTTTTTAGCTTAATGTGTATATCAAATAAACTTGTAAGCTATCAGCTGTCGTTTCAATATTAGGATGAGGTTTAGGGGATGGAATCGCTTCCCTTCAATCCCCCTAAATTTTGTGAACAAAGTATAATTTATTTTGTTACTAATGTTTTTTACTAATAATCATAAAGTTATGAAAATTTCTACATCTTGTTGATTAAAATACAATACCTTTTTGGACTGGTGTAATTGCAGTAGTTACACATGTGGGCTTGGGTGACGGTTTGTGATTTCTTTGGTAAAAGCTTTATTATTTTGGTCTTATCATCCTCATCTCCTGATTCCTATGAAACACAACATGTCATTCAGTTAGCAATAGGAAAAGAAAGGTTTAAACCAACATATTTAAAACAATACAGTAACATATTTTATTATTTTTTTTATGATACAGTAGAACCCCGGGTTGAAAGAATTCAGGGTAACCGAAACGGTTCCATAAAATAACAGTGCTAAAATATAAGTAATATGCTGTAGTAACTTCAGTTGTATAGTTTAGAGTATTTTCTAACCGATTGTAACATTTCTGTAGCTGAAATAAAACACTGTATTATATAGACATTGTTTTAAATTTATTTTTCCTACACACCGTGGCTATACACACATAGGCTATTTTTAGCATATATGACGGGTTATCCGAAAAATTGGATATCCGAAACGGCTCTCCCCACATTATTTCAATTAACCGGGGTTCAACTGTAACTGTTTTTTTTCTTTCTAGAATCAGATTAGATAGGTATACATAAGTTGTGTAAAGCTTTCAACAACAAAACATATAAATATATTAATATTAGTGGTGTGCGAGCGACTCGATTTACGAACTGAGCCAAGCCTGGCCTACAAGCTCAAGAGATCAAGCACTAAAACAGAAAATCAAGCTCAAGCCAAGCTTTTAAAACCAGGGTTGGTACTAAATTTGGAAAACAAAATTCCTTGACTTTTCCAGGTTTTCCAGACTGATATTATACTTTTTCCAGGTATACCGCAAGTCGATATCAACCAATCAAAATCAAGAAATATTAGAAAAACATTTAATATTTAACTTGTTTAATCACTCCCATTTGGGACTTTTGTATTTACAAAACTTGTTTCTTAAACTATTTATATAACGATTCTTTCCCCATACCGATAAATAATTAACGATATAGAAATGTGCATATCAGTGCTTATGTCGTTCTTTTTGCCATTAGTCATCACCCTGATAAAAACATGTTTAGGTGCACAATGTACCATATCTGTAAAAAAAGTTGTCTTTCAGGAGAAATTCCAGAACTTTTTCATAATACCCTGACTTTTCCAGACCAACCAAATTTCCTGACTTTTCCAGGTTTTCCCTGACCGTACCAACCCTGAAAACGTTATTGCGATTGTAGAACACGTCTGCAAAGATGGCGCAATCCGAAAGCGCAATAGCGGGACGACTATAAAGCCTATTTGACCATTGGGACGATAAATATTTTGCCACAACTATAGAGGACGAAGATTATATTTCCTTCATCCTGGGAGATATTAAAGATTTTGCTGCAATCGCAGAAGACAGTGGTGATGTTACTGTGTCCGTGCGAGATGTCCTATATTTTTTCCTAATAAAGGGAGGTAATAAAAATTAATTCTAAAATTAGGCTATTGTTTTGTCATTCTTTATGTTCTGAAAAAATATATTTAGTAAGGCTTGGGGCAATACTTGTAGTTTACTCATTGAGTAAAAAAAAACATCAAATGAAAAAGCTTGGCTTGAGATTCTGGCTTTTCTACAAAAGCTGGGCTTGGGCTCGGATCGATCAAAAATCTCAGGCTTACGCATCCCTAATTAAAATTGTAAATCACAAGTGAAGATCAAAACATTGATTTTGACACTAAAGGTTTTCAAATTCAAAAGACGCTAAAACTAATAAACTTATTCTGGTAAGTAGGCCTACTTCTTTGAATAAAAGATCAATTTAAAAAAAAGGTTGATGAAAATAATAATAAAAGATATGAGAAACCAGTTTAGGATACAAAAAGCATCAGCATAGACAACAACAAGGAACAAGAAAAAGAAAAAGAATAACAACTAAAAATAGGAAAAGAAAAGATTCAAAAACCTCTACGATTACAGGAAAATTTAAAATTGATGACAAGGATGAATAAAACTAAACTAACAGTCATAATCCTGTGGGTAATACTGTGGGTAGACAAGGATAAAATATAAACATTGGATAGGACACCATGGTTGAGGAAATGAGTTGTAGGAAAACAACTCAGTTATTGTTTTGGCTAGATGTCTTGTTAATAAGACACAAGTTTCAAAGGAAAGTCTTAAGGAAAGACATCAACTTGTAATTCATTAAAACAGCTTGTTAGTCAACAGTGTTTAAACAACATGTAGGCTATAGCTTAATATTCATAATTTTCCAATTGGTAAACAAGGATTTTAATATAATCAATGAAAGGACAGGAATAGTTGTAAGACATATCAACTACTTATTCTAAACATCAGTTTGGCAATCACACACACATGCAAATATCCCAATGAAGTAACCAAGGTTAGTAATGGACGTTAGAAAGGACACCAGATTAGAGGAGGAACGAGGAAAACAAGAATCCCAAATATGATCCAACTCACCATTCCACTAATCGGCTCATTATCCTCTGCTTCATTAAAGTCGTAAACCGTATAATCCGGATCCTCTTGGTCCTCTTTGTCTTTCTCGTCGTCAGGCTGTTGTACTATCAATACGTAGCTCACCTCGCCAGGATTGGTCTCCGTTGGCATGATCCTCAAAGTTTGGAAACCATCCGCTCCACTCACAATCATTTGGCCACCCTCATCAACCACCTTAATACCATCATCGTTAGTGAAGTTTTGGGACAAGAAGAGAGTTGGACTGAAAGACTTTGAAATTGTTGAGGATACAATAGGATATGGGATATCTATGAAGAAAATTGAGGACGGAGAAGCAGTTACGAGACTGGAAGTGGATCATAGGTACAATACAAAGGTTGTAATCAAGAAATTAGTCTCTTCTCTATGCCTAAACAATGTAATAAATTGTCAGCCTTTAACAAAAATTAATTAACTTATACAAATTATAGGTCGCTGTTTTCCATCAGCTAAAATATGTACTAATGTGTTCTAGATTTAAGATATGTTTTCTCTCATGGCTGGTAAACCACACATAGATAACATAAGTGCATAGCATAGATAACACTTTTAGTGAAATACTAATGAATGTTTCATTTAAAAAATGGGATCAAAAGAATTTATGCAAGTTCAGTATTGGGACAAACTCAAAACCTTTATTTGACGCAGAAATCACTTTAAATGGTAAAATACAGACTATGATGAAATGCAAATCTTTTCTATTTCCCAAATTTAAGATAACTAATATCAGTTTAAGATGCATTAGTGAAATGTATTAGCGAATAATTTACAGCATGTAAAATGCCTATTCAATTCATATAGGCTACGTAAAAAATATATTTTTTTAATTGATGTTCACTCACATTTTCATCTACATCTCCTGTTATGGATTCTGGCACCCCTTCAATCACAAATGATGTTTCATTTGCGTCGCCAACGTCACTGTTGGGGTTGGCAATACCTGACACCAACATAAAAAACTTGGTTAGACATTAGACAAAATGTTAGCAACCAGCCATCAGACTTGGTGTAGGGTAAGGATAGACCATGGATACAGTTCTGCAGAGAACCTGCAATGTAATATCGTGATAAATACGATGATATCGAATTTGATTTAGTTCGCTATATCACTTCTAAACTATTATTTTTATTTCTTTTGAAAACATTGAATTGAGTTTCGATTTGTTTACATTTTTATTGGTGTTAAATAAATGTAAACATCAAATCGAGTAATGATCTTTTATGTACCGTACTTTATTGGTGTTAAATCTATCTATCTATACTATTATAAAAAAGAGGTGGTGTCTGTGTGTATGGGAAAAGTAAACGCGAAAACTACTGGTCGGATCGGGCTGAAATTCGGCATGATGATAGCTCATATTCCCGATTAACATATAGGCATATTTTTATCGCAAAAATCCTTCCGGGCTCCGCCCCAGTGGCTCTGGAGCAAAGGTTCCCGTGTTAACCTTATGAGAAATGGAATTAATGAATCTTAACAGCTGTTTCAATTAAACAAGTTGGTTCTGTTCTATGATTTTCAATAGCATTAAAGTTACAAGGATTACCAACAGGGTGCAGCACTAGCATTATTTCTTTTACATTTATGACAACAGCTAATTTGCAACCAAAAGGTGAGTGAGCGTAGCGAACGAACTTCAACCTGGAGGCGAGTGAGCGTAGCGAACGAGCTAACCTGAAGGCAAGTGAGCGTAGCGAACGAGCTAACCTGAAGGAAAGTGAGCGCAGCGAACGAGCTCCAACCTAAAGGTGAGTGAGCGTAGCGAACGAACTTCAAAAAGAACCGAAATTTCTTAAACCATGTCCTCACTCATAACTGCTATAAGCATTTGATACTTATATGCCAACCCCGTACGAAGGACGGGTACTCTGCTAGTAAATTATAAATCTTTCAATATCCAACCAAAACAAAATATATTTGATGAACGTTTAAGAAAACAAACGTATCCTTGCTTTTTCAGGTAAGAAAACAAACAATAACTAAAACAGCAATCAATTATTAACAAACAAAAAGTTTATAATTGAGTACTACTAACTTCAGTATTTAATTAGTCTAGTATTTAATTCTTACTAATTTAATCATTTACTTCTCACCTGACACTACAGTCATGACTTGTTGTCCGTCAGGTCCTGGGGTCTGGTAGTAGTAGTGTCCTGCCTGGTCCACAAAGTAGGTAGCTCCTTCGTCAGGACCCTGGTCTCCAGTCATATCATCTGTGACACAAAGCATAGGCCTCTATACCTCAACAATCAACCTAACACTTTGTCATGTCAAGTCTTTTGATTAAAAGTTCATAGATAGAATCATACATTAGATAGAGATAAAATCTGATAAAGCATGTAGACATTACGTTAAGCCCATAACTAACTGTATAAATGTCTAGGCTAATGACAATGATGTCTCCGTGACTATTATTATTTATTATTATTTCTTTGTCATGAGAGCCGAAGCCCCCTGACTGCGTACCCGGTACCTATCCTTGAGGACATACCCGGGCCCCATGATGTAGGCCGAAGCTTACGCATCAACCTTTAGCACATCATGGGCGGATGACTTAAGGTCATCAGGCTCGCCGGCTGCCGAAGCAGACCCTTCGGAAAGAGGGTTGCCCCTCAATCCTAACCAGGGATTCCGGCTGCTTGTTTAAGCGTCACTCCACCTGGGTTCCTCCAGGTACAAGCCCTAGAGGACCATAATGGAGCGCCCCGACGCATTTAGTGCAAGCAACACTCGGGACCTATCTAATCCCTGACAGGCAGAACCCGCCATCATAGCCAGAAGGAAGGGGACCGTCAGCAACCTCCCATTTACACCACTACCCGATCGAGGCCTTACCCAGTTGCTGGGAAACCAGAGATAACCAGAGCGATAGATCCCCAGATACCCCTGGCGGGCTCGGACCCAGCACCCGATCTACTTCGTCTGCCCGTCAGACCCAACATCACTGCCAGGCCATCAGGGTTTCCCAAAAGGAGGCAGGTATAGAAGTGGGACCCACCCGGATGAACCTATCCACCAGAGGTGGCGACACCCTTCACTCAATTGAGGTTCCGGGAAGAACCCCCCACACTCAAGATAACCATACCGTCCGTGCTCAGAGACAGGGATTGGTTTGCATAAGTGCCTACAAACCGTTACCCTCACACTGCGGAAAGTTACGTTGCCCTTGAGTGTCCCCGTGAGCTACGGGTACTTGCCTGTTGTCACCTCCAGGAAAGGCTACTTCCAAAGTCGAGGATTTGCCACACTGAATGCTGGTCGCACACAACAAGCAGGCCGAAACCCAAAGAACCACAGACACAGGTAGGTTAGAGAATATGATGCACTTCCATCTCCCCTAGAGCTAAACACCCCTCCATCCTGGATAAAGGAATGTCACTGGGACCCAATGCCCAGTCGTCCATGTCTGTGGCCTACTTGAAAATGCCGATACCAACACCGAGCAGTTACCTCCCCTTTGGGGGCGATGTCTCCGTGACTGTAGGAGATATTCACAATCTGTCCACAATCCCAGCAGACAATCATGGTGGTTTCGCTAATGCAGGAGATAATCAGGATTGGGGTTGCCACATAACCGGTTTTTCGGATTTCAACGCTCAAAATTTAACTCCGGGGGATCTAGAGCATTAGCGTAATTATTCTTGACAATGACCTGGCAAAAAACTGTCTCAGAATATACCTCTTCACTTGCTGGTTGCTTAACCTGGGCAGAGGGCATGTCAAACAGGTACTTTCTGTCATTACTGGACATGGCCATTTCAGGAAACACCTCTACACTGTAGGAATCGTCATTGACAATCAGGAGTGTCGACTTTGCAGCCAGTTCAAAGAGACTGCAAAGTACATTATTCTGGACTGTGACAGACTTGGGGCCAGGAGAAGGGCTCTGTTTGGTCTGAAGCAGCCAGGAAATGGCTGTACGCTTTCACTTACAATATTTGATTATTGACTATAATATGTATCAAATTTGGCTAGCTCGTTATTTTTTTATACGCCAGTGGGGGCCGCCAGCTGAAATCTCCTCTTTTTTACACAGTAGGTACCATATGGCAACTATAATCAGGATAGTACATTATTGTAAACCATCACAAATTTTAGTAACAAAGACATTGTGGTGAATGCATCATGATTGCTAAAGGGTGACCAACAGGAACTGGAACGTTTTTTTAAAGGACAACTTAGTGCATGACAGTTATTGTCGTGGGGGGTAGGGGTACCATTTACTGCTGTAATTATTATGCAATTTCAGTAGCCATGGAGCATTAAACGGTTAACACTGTATGCTTGCCTATAATGAATATGTACAAAATGGCAAAAACGGCAGTGCAGCAATTTTTTTATTATTTTTTTAGTTCCATTTATCTTTTGCTATGATATAGTTTCCAGCCTACAATTCTGAGATGAACAATCTGAGAAAAACGGGATCCATGCTAGAAGGAAGCTGTTTGGTCGAAATATGTTGAGATGTAAAACAACCATTCCTTTTTTTTTGTTTTTTTCAAGTTTTTTTTACTTTTTTTGTTTGCCTAAGCGTAATTGTTGAAGTTATTAAGAAAAACTACTGTGCAAGAGGCCCATCCGCCCATCAAAGGTAATTTCGGCACTGAATTTAGGATTTTGAAAACAATTCAAGCAATCTTTATTCCTTGGGGTTTCAATAATTTAAGACAGCAATCTTTAAAATTCTGATTTAAAGTTCATACTCTCATAGTGATTATGGATGCAAGTGATCATTAACTTACATTGCTCTGGTCCCGGTAGATGATCTTGATTTCACCAGGAATCCAAAGTATCAAACGTTTAGGTATTAAGAATTGGAATAGAATCAGCTCATCTCTGTTTTCAAGGTTTAACATCAAAATTCACATTTCAATCTAGATTATTTCCCTTAGGGTACCCTGCCTAGAGCAATACCAAAATAGGTGACTGTTTACGGTATAAGTACCTATTAAGATTATTACTTAAATATGATTAGGCCTGAGACCTAGTTGATATTATTGACCTAAAATTGTTCAATTTTTAAAATCTTACCTCCAACTTGCTGAACCACACTTTCTCCGCCAATCTCTTTGTTGAATGTATTCAAATAGTTCTGAATGTCCGTTATAGTCTCCCCAGACACCTCCTGGGAAGACTGTTCCAATTTGATAGTCTGCGACTCAGACATTTTGACAGCCGCTGCGACAAAATAATTAATGTTAAAGTAAGCACTACAATTAAATTACAGTTTAAGACATTTCTTGATATAATTTTCAAACCATTGCAGTTTAAAAGGTCAACTTTACTACTTTACACAGTCCTTAACCTTGTTAGGAGAGACTGGCCAAATGGTTGCGTTCAGGAAATAAGGTAGGCCTTTATAAAACTTGTGATATAAAGCTGTGTATAATATAATTAGTCATTGGAATCCAGTAGGCTAGATAAGTTATAGGGCTACTTTACAAATTACAGTACTTTTAAAACAGTTATGCTGCCATTTCAACTTAAGTACTGTATTAAGAATTTAAGTATTAAAACTTAAGCATAGATGAAACTAGTCCCTTAGTAGATTTCTCATCCTTATGGAACAGCTGAAGCCAATTTTTATTGTTAGTTCTGTCCGGTGCACTGTAGAGGCAATGGTAGAGATCAAGTTTCATGTTACTTCAGTCATTAACCCTCCCGCGGTTTACCGTCGATGCATCGACGCGAGTTCGCGGCCGTAGACGGTTCACCGTCGATCGATCGACGGTAGGCAAGCTTTTAAAAATAGCGTCTAATCGGCGTTATAATTTGCTAAACTTCAACTTATATAGTATCGTGGTACTCTCCAAATTACAAGCTTTCCGCCGATGTCTGTCTTTAGACACCTTGCTCTATGCAAACAACTTTGACTACGTTAAAAGTCTTTGTTGTTGTTTACGCCGATACGCTGTTGGTTATGTTTGTTTACATCTGTTCTTGGTGCTTCTGATGTGCAGACTATTTTATTATTGTGCATTTTAACTATTTTAAGATGGATAGTAGTGACATTCGACGTGCTTTAAGCGAAGTAAGTGACAACGATGATCCAGATGATCCTGAAATCGGAATTGACAGTGATTTTGATGCCGATATTCTCGACTACATTGAACCCGACTCTGACCTTTTAGATTTCTCGAGTGGTAGTGACGATTTTTACAGCCCTCATACAAGTGAATTAGACACTTCAGAAGTAGAAGATTTCACTGTTGAACAACCGACAAATGAACCAGGTAGGCCTACCCCAGAACCTCAAATTGTTACTCGAGATCCATGGGTTAGGGTCTACCCTCCCGAACCAGAAATTGACATAAGAACTGAGTTTAGAGCAAGGCAAACAGGGCCTAAGGACTTACCTCCCAGAAATAGTCCTCCACTAGATTACCTTTCCCTATTTTTGACCGCTCCTTTTTGGCAATTGTTAGCCAGAGAAACTAACTCTTATGCCGAAAGAGTTATCGCTGCAAAGCGTGATACCCTGAGCCCAAAATCACGTTTTAGAAAATGGACAAATGTCACTGTTATCGAATTGAAAAAATTCTTTGCAATTCTAATAAACATGGGCCTAACAGTGAAAAATAATGTCAGACACTACTGGGACACAAGGAGCTCACAATGCTGTCCATTTTATGGCAAGCAAATGACAGTGAACCGCTTTGCCCTGATAAGTTCTTTTTTGCACATGACCCCAGCTCGAGATGTTCCTAGAGACAACCCAAACTATGATCCGTGGTTGAAAGTGAGATGGCTCTTAGACCATGTAAATTCAAGATTCAAGAGACACTTTGTTGCTTCGCAAGATGTTTGTATAGACGAAAGTCTTATAGGTATGAAGAATCGCTGCGCCTTCATACAATACCTACCCAATAAGAAGCATAAGCAGTATGGTATAAAAAAGTTCGAAGTATGCGACAGTAATACAAGCTATGTATTACATATTGAAATATATAGTGGCAAAGACTACCTACCTGCAGATCCTGAAAATTCTGATGAACTGTTCACTGAACGAGTGGTGATGGAGATGATGACAAAAGGCAACCTATTGGACAAAGGTCACCATCTGTACACGGATAATTTCTATACTAAAATTCCGCTTGCTGAACGTTTGCTCGAACGTATTACATTTATTACTGGTACTATAAATAAGAAATCCAAATTTTTGTCAAAAACGGTAAAGAAAACTAAACTTGGTGAGAGGGAAACTGTTTACTTTCGCAAGGGGAGATTGTTATTGGTCGGCTACAGACAAAAGACAACTCGGAAACCAGTCCTAGTCATCTCAACCGGTTATCATGCTGAAGACGGAATTGTAAGAAGCAAGAAGGGGTTAGTTGGAAGGAAGCCCTTGCTCATCCACAATTACAATCAAAATATGGGTGGAGTGGATGTGAGTGATAAGTGTGTGTATGCCTTATCAATAAACCGACAAACCAGCAAATACTGGAAGAAGATATTCTTCAACTTGATCGATCTTGCCCTGTTCAATGCGTATGTATTATATAAGCTGAACAGTGACAAACCAAAGAGCAGGAGGGAGTTTCATATTTCTGTGTTGGAGTCTCTTGCAGATGCAGGAAATGAACAAGTTGTGCAGCCTGGACCTGGACCTGGAGGTGACAATCCCCACCGCCTTGAACACTTACCACGGAAACAAGAACGAAAGTGTGTATCATGTGGTAGAGGAAGGTCAAGCTTTTGGTGCCCTGGTTGCAATGCTGGCATCCACAGGGAGTGCTTCCACCAACTGCAACATTATTGGAGGCCCAAAAGAGGGGTGAAGAGAACTCTGGTTGCAGATGACCCCGACTCCGACTAAGCTCCTTGTGCGTAGTTGTGTTCTTTTTTGTATATATGACAGTGTACTTTTTTATTTTAGTGTGTAAAACTATATATTTTCTTTTTCCTCATAAACTTGTGAACAAAATGGCTATTTTGAATTTTTTATTGGTTGCAACCAGTTGTGATTTGTGGGGGAGCAAACTATGTCAGTGATTTTTTTATTTTTTATTTTTCTGCATCTACAGAGGATACACTCAACCAATCCAAGGTAAATAGGTTTATTTATTTTTTTTATTATAGATAATTTAATTTAGAGTAAAATGATATATAATATGTTATAGTTACTATGATTTTTATGTATGACATGAATTTTTCTTTTAAAGTCCGCAAAACCGCCAAAAACTGGTGAACCCTGAGGGTCAAAATAGTGAACCGTGGGAGGGTTAAAAACCTCGTTTAACCAAATAAAACTATCTAATCATAAAGACTAACTCGTCCCATGGATATATAACCAAATAGTAAAGCAGAAATCATGAAATCAACCCTAAAATGATAGAAACAAATTTTTGTCAACACTAGCTATCAGTTTTACCGGACAAAATCTATACCTGAAAAACAAGAAAAAGTCTACTTGTAGGCCTATTTGTTAGTCTGTGACTTTAGTGACCATAAGTTACAGTTTTTAATGGGAATAAGTTATGCCCACCAACCAAATTTATATAGGTAACGTTAATAGCCTAGTTGTATTTTTTTAGGCATTTTATCTCCAAAACTATATTTTGATTGAATATCCAGATGAGTTGTAAGTAAATCCAGATTATTGGGTTATATTGTAGCCTATCTTACCAAAACTAGCCTAAAAACAACAAAATCCATGGCAAGATAGGCTATTGTACCGGTAATGAAAATAAATATTTTGATGTTAATCTACCAATGTACATGTGCTAATTTAAAATGACTTGGCCTACTTACTTGTTATTAACTATAACAGATTATTTACTCTTGCATTCCAACAGACGTCTCTAGCATGCAATGAAAAGTTCTTCTGGAGAGTGCTAAAACAAAATAAGTAGCTTTTAAGTTAGTTGAACTAGTAGTTTGCTAGACATTCATAAAGACAATCCAGCATTTTCATCCAGGTATTTAATCTATCGAACTTTTAATAAATAATAATTTAATAATTTAATTTACTTTTAATAATAATTTTTTTAATTTAATCTATCGAGGTATTTCGACTTGTCGAAAGCCCCATAGGTACAGACTGTCCCTGACGAGAGATAACTTCCGTTGCAGTGCCAATGTTAAATAAGCTGCCGCTGAGACCGCTGGAGATTAAAATATTTAAGGAAAAGATCAAGGAGTTCCTCCTGCAAACCCATGGCATACTACTCCATTCAAGAGTATTTTGAGGAGGCACAAACTCTCGACTGCCCACCGCCATCAAATAAAAGCTACTTTGGATGTTGTTTGGAGCCTAAGTTATGCAACAACAAAGGAGTGTGACTGTTTTCAGTGCTAAATCACAATGTTGCTGACCATACACAATGTGTTACAGTTTGTCATATTTCTCTGCTTGGCACTGTTGTTCTACAACTCACACTAAGTTTAATAATTAACTTAAGTTATCTTACAGCTGTAATCATTTTGTTGTACATCAGTGGCTTTGTTAGGCCTATTGTTTTTGGTGTCAACATGACAACCTAACTTATATTTAAAAAAAAAAAAAATCTAGGCTAATAAAGCTATTAAATTTTGGCCCTTCCTTTCAATCCAAACCCAAAATCAATTGTTACCCCTTTAGCCTACAGGTTTATGCTGAATTTGGTGTACACCTATAGGCCTAAGTAAGGGACGCTACCTACGTGCAGTTAGACGAAACATACTTTTTTAAATTTGTTATCACTGTCTAACTTGGCATTTTACAAGGAGATAGGAGATAAGTTAACTTATATTAAACAAACAGTTTTAGGACAAGTGGTCCAAATCCAAAAGATGATTTGCGGGAAAACCAGAAATTGAACCAGCCCCTCTGGCACTGATGTTCGATAACCAACACAAGCTTAATAAGTTAATTCATTTATACAAGCAGTGCACCTATTTTGACCAAGCCTATGTTTAATATAGGATACGGAAAGTAAATAAAAGAGACGTCTTATAACACTTAAATCATATATTTACGCTTATACTGTTACTCACAAGACGGTAAATAAACAAAATACCCCCGCTGCAGCAAACCTGCCGACTAAGTGAATTTCCATTTGTCTGACTGGTTTTGAATCAAATCTATTTAAGTTAAATATCCTAACATTAGGTTTAACGAGTACCTAGGCTTGCTGCTACAAGGAAACTAATAAAGTGTTTTTTAGTAAAATATTAATAAGTTAGCTTAGTATAAAAAGATGGTAAGTTAAGTGGTGATCAATTTCGATTGGACACTCCAATCATCATCAGACCCAATAGGCGAATCTCTCAAATATTAGGAAGTGGGTGGTACTGAAACGACTGTTCTCGTAGGAAAGATTTGAGACCAGTGATCACGTAAGTTACGTCTAAATACAATGCTCTCCTAAATTTAAGTCAAATATCACAGTAAACAACACAGTTTTAAAAAATTTTTGGGGACATCGGTTTAACCAGAAAACCGTTACAGTATTCGGACAAGAGGGAGTCTACTGTAATTAAAGAGCAACTAAGTTAACTTAAGTTAGAGTCGAAAAATTTTTGCCAAAGAATTGGCACAAAATAGTCAGTGAGTTAGTGTCATGGATGTCGGACGAAGAAGACGCAATCTATGCCATGGCTACATGTGTCATAATAGCCAGCCAACTTGAGTTGAGGTCCACGAGGATATTGGGTGAGACCCTCGTTGATGGCTAGGAACAGTGGCAGTGACATGACATGATGATAGCTGATCTCCGAGAAGATGCCGTTGATCCGCTGGTTGTTAGCTGAGGTGCAAAGGGAGTGTAAAACACTTTCTGAGAATGACCTTGAGGACCTAGGCTAGTAGTGATTTTGAATATTTGACACAAACTACAGGAAAACCACGGGCCCTACATTGTATGCCTAACTTACCTGTCTAAAAAAACCAACAGTTAACTTAGGCCTACACTAAGTTAAGTTACGTTTTTGGGCAACAGGAGATTCATTCACAAGTCTCAGTTTCCGTTCTTATTTATTTTACTTAAAGTAAATCATAGGCCTACATGTATGTAAGGGGAACATTTGTCCACTATGTTTTCCACAAGTTGCTTGCGTAGCCTAATGAGCGTAGCCAGCCACCGGTAAACTTAGTCTTCCACTTTTTTGTTGTCAACTTTCTTTGATCTTTACCGACACTCCGCGGGAAACCAAACTTAAGTGGAAGACTTGTCTCTCCACTAAGTTAGTAAGTTAGACGATAGTGTCACATTATTTTGTAGAAAAAACAGCTAAATTAAGTTACTTACCGCAACTAGTGCAAAACTTAAGTTAGTAGAAACGCAGCTTTATGTGTAGGCCAACATTAACACCCTTATCTTTTATGCTCTACCTTTTCGTTTGGAAGACCTAAGTTAAGTAACTTAGGTCTTCTAGGTAGTCTATTCTTGTAGCAGTCTATTCTAGTAGCATCTTGTTGCATGTAAATCTTGTCAATGATTGTATTGTAAAATGGCGATTGCCGTCGAAATGAATAAATAAATAAATAAATAAATAAATATTGCCACTGTAAACTTAACTTAGTAAGCTAGCCTAATTAATTTTAAATCACTTAAGTTACTTATTCAAACTTTAAGCCTAGGGGCTACAGAGGCTCTAAATCACCTAATAACAACATGCTTTGTACAAGGCTACGTTTTCATAAAACAAAGCATATTGATTATTGAAAAAGTAAGTTCGAGTCAGGTACAGGGTTAACTTAGTCTAGGCTATTAACTAACTGAAGTTTTTAATTAGGTACGTCAATAAAAACCTATTCGAGGTTAACTATGCAAGTTACTTCTACCCCTAATTAAGATCAAAACATATACTGTAAATAGCTGCTACTATTTTGTCTAATACCTTCAACAGGAACGATCTTACATTATTCCCAATCTCGGCCCAAATTTACTAAGTTAACTTAAAGTTAATCTTAACAGAGGAAAAGGTATAAAAAATAAAATGTCTTCAGTTAATAGTTTTGTCATTATATCCGTAGCCTAAGAAGCAGGAAACATTAAAGAATTAGTGTAGTAGTACGCTATCTGGTGGGAATAAATAGAATTCCTACTTACAATTTCAGAATACAGGGGGCATCAAAGGCGAAAATTTCAAGAAATTGGCACCGTCCGCGCTGTCATCATAATGGCTACGGTACCACTCTCGAGCTGGGCTGTTACCTTCTATAGGTGGCTTGAGAAGGCAGAATATTGTACAATTACCTCTTTGTTGAGGAGTTGTAAGTGTATTTGGTGAAATTAACTTTAAATAATCAATTTTCACAAATTGTAACGACTCCCGTGCACTCAAAACTGGAATTACCTTTAATTCAAAATCCGACGTTTGAGGTTTGAGGGCGTTGGTGTAGCGATCACTTGCAGAAGAGAGGAGAGAGGGAACAAATCGAACGAAGATGCCAATATGGCGGCTCACTCAGTCGTGTTTCCCTGTAAAAACAGCCAACCAGAGGAGCTTGCGCAATGGGAGATGGAGATAGGAATTTCTTGTTATTTTCTGTTTTAAAACATGCGTATCAAGCTAGCGAGACAAATATAAATGATTGATTGATATAGATAGATCTATCATTTCGCTTCCCTATAACTAGTTGCATGATTTTAACAAATAATTTTACTGATACTGCTTAGCCTATTTCTCAGGAGTAAACCTTAGAACTTGTACACACATAGTAAAATAACATTAAAAAAAATATATTATAGCTTAGCTATGATCAGGTAATACTTTATTTGCTTATATAACCAAGCAGAGCCTGAAAAAATTTGATACTGTCCATTCCATAAAAGATTGTAGTGGACTATAATAACAAAACCATGTATCTGGCTGTATGTATTTTGGCTGTTTTTTTTTTGACAATGCCTATTGTATATTTGTAAATACTGAATGGCTAAATAAATCATTTATCATTTATCAACCCCTGCCACAATTGGATTATCACTAAAATATTCATTCCTTAATAAATTGTCACATAATATTTACCTATTTTATTAAGATTTTAATTTTTTTTATTAAAGGTTTGCTGCTACAGGGAAAGTAATTAAATAAAGGTACAGTACTTATATATTGAAATAGTTTGGTATGAAATAAACAAATTTACCAGATTTTATCAAAATACATCCCTAAACAAGCAAACTTAACAGTTCATTTATCCTCCAAGAATAATACGGGGATTTTAAATTTCGTTTTTTATTTCTCCTATGAACATTTACATAGGTGTAACACTTCAATGAATTAATTATTTTTTTAAGCTCCACAAAAAAGTTATCTAGTTTAAACCGAATTCCATTTTCAGATGATTTTTTTTACCTTTTTTACTCAGTCAAGCATCCCCTGGCGCAACCGAATGCAAGGGTTTGCAAGATTTCTGTTTTCACCTGCTACATTGAAGGTAGAATCAAAGTTAAAGTCTCATATATTAAAGAGGATGAAATTTTCTATAGTTCTTTGTTTCTATATTTCAATTATTTTAAATACACGCACCTTATAAACTTGAGTTGTAGTACAAGAAAAAAGGGTCTTTTCAACTAGCCTTAAATTATAAAAAAAAGTTTTTTGAACATTTGAAAAACGCAGAACTATAGATTGGTCTTTGTACTACTATAAGCCGTTTAGAGTGCGTAGCTATCATTATTTGTTAATTCTAAAACAGTAATCTTGGAAACGTCTGCAAGCGCTTCTCGCAGCGCTGTCCAATGGTGAAACATAGCTACTGAAGCCCGAGCTGAGGTAAAGCGCACCCTTAAAGGACATATCTTGAATTTGAACGGATGGAGTTTTTGGCCTGTGACATCCACTCAAAATTAAAAAGTAAATCTGTCAGTGGTGGTCTAGGTCTTGAGACCTAAATGTCTGATTCCCTATGTGGGAAAGTCGCCATGTCACTAGATGTTCTCTTTGGACTGTCTATAAAAATTAAATTACTATTGATTATTGCCTTGCAACAATTGTTGTATTAATATAAATTAAACTAATCAAAATATGGTAAATTATAAAATTTTTAGTAGTGGATATTTGAAGTTAAATTCATTTTCCAAGTATTAAACTATCTATTAATTGACAAGAAAAGGCTGAGGACAGAGACAAATGGAGGCGAGTGTACACTATTACACTGTGGCGAGAGTAACTATTTGTTCTTTTATAGTGGCAAAAAACTACAAAATGTTTATACCAATACTGTATAAATTAATCTGCCACTCACAAATTTTCTAAAGAAAATAATCTAAAAAAACTATATAAATTTTTTTCTGAAGAAAAGTTTGTGTAAAAAAAATTATGAAGAACTTAGAATGAAAACCACCAGTAAATGAATCATGAAATATAGAAAAGCCTTACTTATCAAGTAGCCACTCCCTTATTTTTATTTTGAACAGTTTCAAAATGTCTTTTGATGAGGTCTTATAAGATTTTATCCCAAGGGAGAATGTTTTGTTATGTTATTCTTTGGATTAAATAGTTTTTGTCTAGTCTTGGGTGGCCAGTTTTATTAAATTTATGTGGCTTGTTTCCATCCATAAACGAGCTAATAATGTAACTATTTAAAATTGAAAGGTTGAGTGGATGAATGGGGCAAGTAACAATTTTGTAAAAATTGAGTTTAGCGATGCATGGATGAAGGGTGTAAGTGATGCTCTATTTAGTAGGTACACTGACGACTCTCATAACTTAGTCCTAAGTGTATGTTGTGTATTTCAATAAGTGGGATTTGAGAAGGATTTCAATCACAGAGCAGAAAAAAATGGTTATTTTCTGCTCTAGCTATCATTCAGTGCGAATGGTCGCTAGTATATTAATAGTTTCTTAAGAACTTTGTTGGTACTAATATAATTGGGGTGTCATTTTAAACAGTATAAAATAGGTTTACGTACCTTACGTCGTCAATCCTAGAATAATAAAAATTTCAGGCGACTAGTTTCAAAACTGACATTTCATTTTCAAGCCTTGTCGTCTCACATAAAATTATTGGAACATGATGTCGTCGTCAAAATACACAAATATAACATTTAACACGCACAAATACAATAAGTTACAGAACGTCGCGCGGCCGGCCATAACACGCACAACGAACACGAGTCAACTGACTGCTAATAACTTTCATTTTAAAGCTTTCATCTTCCTCTACATCGGAAACATACAATTTACTCACATTAAAGGAGTTTCTTGAAAAAATCTATTTATTTAATCATTTCCAATGTAAGGTTATCAATGAAATAGGAATCAATTAACTCAATATCAAACAATTTTATTCACCAGCCATTTTGTACAAAAACATTTATGCCTACTACTGTACAAAAATTAATGGTTATGATGTGACGAAGTTGTTATTATCAGGAAACGGTTTATCTCAGTTCGGATTCAGTTCAGTACCAAGGAACATAAGGTATCTTTTGTAGTATCTATTAGATTTTTTTTAAACATTACGCCCTTCAGGTTCGTCACCTCATAAATCCACGTTAAAAATAACGCTATTATTATTGTCATGTTATTATTAAGTTGATCAGAAACCAAAACACCAGGCAGAGCAAAAGATTGGTTGCAGCTCACTTGGGCCATTACACTATCATAGCGAAGTTGTGTGACTGCGGTCAAACACATATTCAGTTGTTTGTGGTGTTGTCAAGGGTGCGCTTTTTTAGTGAAAACTATTTCTGTGTAAGAACACAGCCATGAACACAAAAACTGTATTCAACCATAACATCACTTCAAACATAAGTTCAAAGAAGTCCTGTAAACATGTAAAAATTGTAATAACATGACTGTGTCCTGAAAAGGCGATCCAAAATATAAACCCACATTTATCCTTAAAGTAAGGACTCATACCTAAATTAATGACTACCAACTACACAGCTTTAAGTGTATGATCTATACTTCAATTAAGTGGGATTTTTGGATACAGTGTGAATGCTTCGCACAGGTCAGCTAGTTACAACATAATTCACTTTCATTAAATGTGAACTTGCACTGAATTAGAAACACAAATAATAGGGTGTTGACAAATTAAAGACTCACTGCAAGATGTAACAAACATTATTTATTTATATTACATAACTAAAAAATAACAGTTTCACTACACTGTAGTAAAGACAAAATACAAAAGATTTAAACATATTTCTGGCAATGTGATCAAATTTAAAATTTAACAGACTATTTTATCTAAATTATATCTTCATTTACCAAACTTGGGAGATAAGGCAGCTTCCTTGAACTGTAAACGGAGAGGAAGTGTGCCAAAGTCATCCATTCGTGTCTGCAGTTTTCCACTTTTTAATTTTAAAATTGGTAAAAAATACTTGCTGTTAAAAAAAAAACAAAGATTAACCTCAATTGAAATTAAGATGATAAAAACCCATCTTTTACAATCAATCTAACATTAATAAATTATTGCTATGTTAGCACCAGTTTAAGAAACTGTACAAAAGCTAACTTTGTACATTCATTTTTGGTGCATTAAAATGATTCTGCTGTATAGGTTACGGATTGTAATATACAAACTTATAAATTTGATTGTATTCAAACCTTGGAACTGTGTAAGTGGGAAGAACTAACTAAACAAATAAACAAACCACCATCTTTGGCATTCTGATTTTCTCATCAAATTTAAATCAAATACTGTAGCGGTATTTCAAATCAAAGCGATTTTCTCAATCAAAGATGTTCTGATTCTAATTTTGGGACAGAAAGTGCTTGTTTTTACCTGAGTAAGATGGGATATATATTTACAGAATGGACTAAGGACACCACGGGACTTTAACAAATTTGTATAAAAATAAAAAATGTTGAATCAATGTTTTTTTAGAGAGGGGGAAATGAACTACCATTACCATTTTCCAATAAATCCCTAATAGATTTTTATTAAAAAATCAAGGTTTTCGTTAATCAAAACAAGATTTGAAGGCAAAAAATTAGTGATCATCTTAGAAATGGTTATGCCAAGTAGAACAGAAACATGTAATTTTATGTATCTTTAACAAAAGGCACAATCCAAAGCCCCTAAAAAAGCAACCCCTCAATGATATCCAAAATTACTCTATTATTATTGGAAGAATCAATTTGGTAACCTAACAACTGAGGTCACCCTCCAGCAACATTTTGAAGCCAACCCCTGTAACAATGATGGTTAGTGTGTAATTAAAGCCACCTTTCCGTTAAACACCCTCAAAACCTACATTGGATCATGATAAAAGCAACTAAATGGTAAAAGCTGTTAGATATAAGACATGCAAATGATGTTTTGAAGCAGTAACTTGAAATCAGCGGGAGGGCTGAATCAAAGTACTCTTGTATCAACACCACATGTACATTATGTTATCTTGATGGAGTATAATCGTCTTCAAAACTGAAACAAAGAAATTTTAAAAATCTATTCTTTATGTGTACAAAAATTCATCAATGATTTTCGTTTATCTCTAGAATTTGAATGCTAGAGTATTACTATATTACACCAAAACTTGGATACACTTCTTATCTGCAAAACATTAGTTGTTCACAGGAATAAAAAGGATATATTGCTGCAGATTAAATGGCTAACTATATAGCATATCACACCATTAGGACCTAAAGTATCCCTTTTTGATAGAAGCTCAAGTTTTTAATTTGAGCGAGGATTGAAAATACACTATTGGTCCACTTAGTTAAGGAAATTTTTTGTCATGCTGCATTCTTTAGGGTAACTAATTTACAAATTCAATTCATTCTGGTATATTTTTTTCAAGATGGAATAATCAATTTTATTCTTCTAGTAATTGTGTATAATTTTAATTTAGTCATTAGTAACCAACAAAACAAGAATAAAACTAATTCACAAAACTCAAATAATTATATTGATAGAAAAAAATATACAACATAGCTATTTAATTTTTAAAATATCGGTTAACTTGATGGATTTTGACATTTTACAACACAAAAACCTCATCAGAAAATGACTTTGGTAGTATTCTCAAAAGATATGTAGCATAATAATATGCTATAGCTATTATTCTAAATATAGCATAATACTAATATTATTAGTAATGCAATACTGATCAATTTATATCTTACAAACAAAATTACTAAATGAGCAGAATACATTGTAGATAAACAAATTAAAATGTCTCAAATATAGATTATCTAAAGGCCGGGTTTCCTAGCTGCTGATTTTGGTATGAGCGGAATTACCAGAAGGCAAGTAAAAAAATGCCAGTTAAAAATTAGTTTAGCATATCCCTGTATTGCTTTTTACTTTGTAAATTCATGTCATTGGCAGCACCTGGCCAATAATAATGCTTTGTGGATGCTACAGCTACAGTACTACATTTACCGATCGCCAGACCCGCAAAGAGTTTTCCTTCAGCTAGGAAAATGTATGTACTTGACCCTTGTATGTTCAGTTTATGTCAAAATTGGCAGCTAGAAAAATCTGCCGCAAGCATCATTTTGATGAAAAATAATACTAAACAGTAAACTGCCTTTATAATAAACTGATTATAAACAATTTAACTATACTAAAAGGCAGGTATAAAACAGAAAGATCTATTGATGTATTTACACCAGAGTTACGTGTTTTGAATAAAATTTGACAAAAATCCAAAGAACAATAGTTTTTGTTAAAAACATTTATTTTGTGTGTTTATCCAGGTTTTCAGTGTTTACCACAGATATTTTTACACAAGAAATTGTAAATTGTAAGCTGTGTTTGTAACAAAATGTTTAAACCATTTTCTACAACGGCTCAAGTTATCAACATATGTGTTATAAACTCTGATGTAAGCACAACTCAAAACAATGTCAATATTTTAGTTGAATCAAGCTTTTTCAAATCATGTTTGGTTTATCTATAGTCTCCGATTGTTTCTGTCCTAAATAGTTAAAAACTTAACTAAGTGGATCAACACAGGCCAAAACCTTGTGAATTCCATTAAATCTTTCCTTCAAATTTACATTTCATTGTTGAATTATACTTTTTAAAAGTAACGAATATTTTTTACTTTTACAAAAATTGTTTCCGGTCAACATTGTTGTTACTCAGTTATTCTGTTTAAATTAAAGTTACATCAAATATGACATTTTGGTACATTTCATTTAGTAAATTTGCATTCTTGGCATTTTCAGAGTTTTGGATTTGCTCTATTAGGTTGTATGCGGGTATAAACAATCAATAGAAGAGGGAATTAAATTTGATTCAGTTTTATAGTCAGATTATTTGAAAAAAAAACAACATATTAATGTTTTGTGTTCTTTTATTGTGTATCTATTAGTCCCTGAACCCTAACTTTCTTAGGAAGACTAGCTGAACTCTACTCCTTTTCAAAAAATTCCTTACTAGCACATTGGCTTTCATTTGAAATACATTAGTGGTCTATGAAAGATATGAAGTAGAAACATACATATTGAACGCAAATCAAACAAATGTTATGTTTTATATAAGATCGTTGAAAAATTGTATTTTAGACACATTGCAGGAAAAGCTGTTTGACCCATATCACAGTTAAAAACTACATCCCTTTATCTGTTTAGCTCTTAGTTAAATTCAAATCAGACATTACTAATTGGCAAGTTATCTCCCACAAAATTAAATAACAAACAAGCACTACTACTCTATTCATTTTCAATCTACAAAATCCCTGACACATTTTTTCAATATCAATACACACACATTATGTTCAATTTGTAGACTCAGCTTATCCTACTTTTGAAGGTATTAACTAGGCTACCTTCGTTTTGTCCACACACGGGAAGAATGAGCGTGCACCTAGTTAAATAATACTCATTGTAAGGGAATAATAATTTTAACTATGTACAGTAAATAACGACAGAACACCAGGGTCCCGATGTTCCGATTTTCGTTAACACAAACGTTCTAATTTGAAAAATCTGCTTCCTGTAAGAACTCGAAGCTCTGTGTAAAAACCAATTACAGAGATTTCCACAATCGCTGAATGCAATTATGGTGCTACAGGAAATTATCACGTGGTTGCCATGATCGCAAAAGAATAGGGAATGATCACCGTGTTGTGATCGTGAGAGCATTCTACGGCAATTTAATCACAAAGATAGATAGTTTCTTTTTATGCTCTTACTGCATTTCAGTCTAATCCAATCAAATTAGTAATTCAAAAAGGAAACAGGTTCCGGTTCCAATTAGTTTGTGTTATTGGGACACTGGTGCATTAGTTAACTAGAATAACAGTCTTGTGTTAGTGCTGTTACCATAATCTGTAATGCTAAAAATACCATTACCATTTAAACTAATATACAAAAAATAAGTTGATATATAGAAAGCGTTCAGACTAAAACTAATTGAAATACAAAAATGAAAAACAACAGTCTCGCCACAAAACAGTCTCAAAATATCCTATTCTAAATTTGAAGGAGTTGTATTATTTACTTGACAGTGGTTAGCATAAATTTTAACCCCTTTGGAGAAAATTGTTTAAAGTCAAAACTAATATCAATTTAAACGACATTTTGTCTAACTCCTACAGGCAACAAACAATTCAATTTGAAAACATAGGAATTCGGAATATTATTGACTGTTGTTTTGAGGCTTCTCCATTATTTAGCCTACCTTGATTCCAAACTGCAGCGTTTCGCTCAGTTTTTATAAGGGCCAAGATTAACTTATCAACTTGTATTTCCCTTGCCTGTGCTTGTATACATAAATGTTTTTTTTTAACTTGCATACAACACCTATATGCAATAACGTTGATTTATTTTTTATTATTTTTAACACTCTTGCTTTCAACAACAAAAATTTCAAACTTAACAAGTTTTATCTAGAAAGAGAGCTTTAGAAAAAAACTATAACAAATAGTACGGAATCATAATGGTAACATTGTATTGCCAAAGCTTATATCCATCACTATTCACTAAATATTAGGCCTTAGGCCTTAGAAGTAGGCCTAGTGTTACAACACAAATCATACTAGGAATTTATATTATAAATATACAGATTTGTTTGTAACAAAATTGCTAGAATATTGCAATATTCCAAATTTTAAGAAGTGTTCATTAACATAGAACCCAGTACTATGTTGGTTTTTAGTTTCTGTTTTCAAATATTCCTTTCTGGTAACAACAGTTTTTACAAACCATTCTCCAGTTTTATAAATTCTTTCTAAACAATTACTGTTTATTTCGATCCTACTTAAATCAATATATTAGTTTATAATGGATTTAAAAGGAAATCAGCTTTTGTGACCGTTGGAGAAAAAAACAAAAAAAAACAAGAAACCATTAACTGAACACTGAAAACCTAACGGTTCCGTCCTTCACAACAACTACTACTATCTTGATAGATCTCTGGTATCTACGTCAATAATACTACTATTGATATAATGACCTAACTATGTAAATACTTCTTCTTGTTGTTCCCAAAATAATTCTAGCTTTCTATTTATGAAGATGCTCAGGTAGGTGTATCATAGAGGTATTTTATAAAAAAAAAATTTCAAACAGTCATTTACATACGTTAAAATCTCTAAATAATCGTGTATGAATTTGAAAGCCACACAAAGCAACGGTCAATAAATATGTTATTATTTTTATTTTTACAGATAAACTTTGTACTATATCTCTACAGAGTCATAAAATATTTAACTAGGTAGGCTACTCAATATTTATTTGATAATAAATTTTTTTAAATTTTATAATAGCCGAGCATTGGGAGTTTCACCACTACCATATTTCAAAATTGCTTTTGGCAAAGACATAGAAACCACTAGCTTTTATAACGATCATTAGTAATTTTAATAATTATATTGCAATAGGCTTTATTGAATAATCCTTACAAGACAAACTGTGATGCAATTAAATTTACCCACCATTATTTAGAGATTCATATATTACATTGAATACTGGTGTATACTTACAGCAATGTAATACTGAATACTGAATTTGTCGGTAGAAAGTAGAAAAGTACAAGATCTCAAGTAAAAAATGAATAGTATAAAAATGTGAAGGTTGCAGACTTCCTGATGGATGTAAGACCTCATTTCTTTAACAAAGAAGTGTTCAAACAGTAAATTCAGGTTGAAAGCAAACACGAACTAGGGCTTTTGGAGATTCCCATACCACCAAGACTCTTAGAATTTTTGAGTTTGTAAATAAAATATCATCATTATCAAAGGTGGTTTGTGGGACTTTGGAATTCAAATTAACTTTTTACTTGAGGAATATATTATAGTATACATACCAGAATTTCCGTCCCAGCTCTGACTAGTCCTTTATAATGGCTCAACAAGAGGCGAAACCCGGGTCATCCAGTGTAAGGGACGAGTTAGAACTGTGACGGAAATTCTGGTATGTAGGCCTATATTAGATAAAAAGGCTCTGTTGGCCAATGACAATGAATTAATTATGAAGAGGTGGCAGAAAAGTAAAAAATATCTTGTTTTACTCCTTTGAAAGTGCCTCTTTGAATCTGGTGGAGTTGTATTTTTTTTGTTCTTGCCTACACACTTGCCATTTTTAGATGATTTTTGGGAAAGCGGTCTAAACCAATATGCTTAAACAAAGTTTAAAGACGTCATTTATATAATCAACAAATTTGTATACATTAACAATAAATTAATAATAAAATTTCACCACTGTTCTTCTTAAGAAGACTTACTAGCAATGATTAACCTTAAAATATCAAGGTTTGATTTAAAGTTAGTTTTTGAGAGGAAACAGATCTATTTTAATGGGAAGAGTCCTCTCTGACACAAGAAACATAAAACTAAAGAGTGTTTTAAAAATAGAAAATTTTCTTTTTGCTATACTTCTTTGAACATCTCGTAGTTAAAGAATTAAAGTTTTTCGATTTCTAACGATATCACAATAATATAAAAAATATAATTACAGCTGGTATATGTTTCACAGTTCGTCTTGGTCCGTAGGCGGAGGTATGGGAGCGTAGCAGGTTGATGGCGGGGTGTCGGAGACTTGCGGCAGCTTGTATATGATGTACATGAGTGCCCCCGCCACAACCAGTAGCAATAGGATGGTCAACATGTGCAGACTTCGGAGATCTCCCTCTAGCTTGTTGTAGCAGTGGGTCAAGTGATTCAGCTACACTCAGTCAACAAAATGTTAGATAGATAACTTGTGAAAAAGTACAAATGTAGCTATCCAGTATATCAACACACTTCTACTCTAATTTAAAATGAACTTTGGACAAAAAATCTGTGTAAGTGATACGTAAAACCAATACTGAACACCTTGTGTAGGAGAGAGGGCCCACATCTACTTTTTATTTTTTATTTGTGTTTCTATGCCATTGGCATTTTTTACGTTTTTATAAGGGGTCCAAACTCCGGTCTTGTTACTGTCTAATGCCAACCATTTGTTGGCCTAATTGATTGACAGCCCAATGACAAATGGCATCTGGAACTAATGGAATTGGAACCAGCAACCTTCAGATTTGAAAACCACTTGGTTACCCAGATGATTTCAAATTTGTCATATCATAAGGCTAATTTAATAAACCAAAGCCGTTCAGGGTGAGAAGCATGGTTGAGTAATAGGAAACTTATTGCACCCAAACTAAACTAGTCCGTAAAATTGACTAGGGCATATACATAACTTCCGAGCATATTCACGCTACACTTTTATCCTGATCACCTTTTGAAAACTTTGAAAAGGGGCCCTGTGATCTGTTTCATCAACCCTAGAGTTCTGAAGTTCCTAGGCATTAAGAAACCTATTAGTTCTCCCTACATTCGCCCCCCCTCCATCCCAAACCCCCTTTACTTGGCACAGTCTTTAGGCCCCCGGATAAATTCTGGTAGTTTTATGGCTCTGCTTAGTAACAATATACGAGCCCTCACTCCAATGCCCACTATTTGTGCTGGGGAAACCTCTTCAGAAACAAAACACGGAAGGGAATAAAATAAATACAAATAATATTTCCAGGGAGTTTGTATACACCCTGTAGGCTATGTATATGAATTTGAATGGGTGGTGTTTTTGTCTTTTGGGGATACAAAAACAAAATACCCCCGCCGCAGCAAACCTGCCGACTAAGCGAATTTCCATTTGTCTGAATTGATTTTCAGTTAAATATATTTTAATAACATTAGGTTTAACGAGTACCTAGGTTTGCTGCTACAAGGAAACTAATAAAGTGTGTTTTTGAGTAAAATATTGATAGCTTAGTACAAAATAAATAAATTTGCCAAGTTTGATCAAAATATATCCACAAACAAGCAAACTACAACATTTGACAATATTTTCCATAAGAATAACATGGGAATTTTAAATTTACAATTTTTTTAATTTTCACCGTTACTAATAATCGAACAAAAATACTTTTATATACTAAATTATTTGTTTTTTTAAGCTCTTTAATAAGGTCTAAAGAGAAATCGGGAAATTTTGTGTTTTGAGGGTCAAAAGTGAGAAAAACCAATTTTTACCCCATAAAACCCCCCGTAAAGCCCCGTTCCCATGGTCCGATGGTGCTGGTTCGCGAACTCATTCAAGTTTATCCCGCTTTACACCTTTAAACCAAATTTCATCAAAATCGGACAAAAATTACTCAAGTTATCGCGTTCACGGACGTATATATATATATATGTCTATATATATATATATACATATATAAAAATTTGAACGAATGGTGTTTTTGGCCTCTGGGGACATCAAAATGAAAAAGTAAATCGGTCCCGAGTCTAGGTCTTACCGTGCCACCTACGGTAATAGCTACTTCCCTATAGGGAAATTCGCTAAAAATCAGTCCCAGGTCAAGGTCTTACCATGAGTTACTGTAGGTCTCTACAGTAAAAACTTTAACTTATATGGGAAACTTGATCAAAGATAAATCATCCAATATAATTCTGTAATTTCCACCCAAGCTGTCTATTACCCAAGTCCTCTCTATTAACTTTCATCAACACAGTTACCAATTTTCTCAAAGTTAAGCACTAGAACTGATAAGTAAAATTTACTTTGGAACTCTTGTAGAAAGGTGGTTTACTGACCACAAAGCTAACACTGTAGGAGAATTTTAAATCTTTAGAACATGTAACCACACCCATAGCTAATATTGTTACCTCGAAACCTACCCCTATAAGGAGCTGGTTTATTTTTTGTTCGTTATCGCCAGGCGGGCCGTGTGCCAAGGACGAGTAGACGGTTCCGTTCTGCGCCGGAGAGGTTGTTTGTCCACTCAGAGCACAGCGAAGTCTGTGCTGATCCACAATCTTGGTATCTGCAGCCTATCAGAAATATAAAGTTAATCATTGATTGCAGAATATATTCCTTAATACAGTTGTTGATCAACAATCTAACACTGATAGGACTGAATGGTTGTTGGAATACTAAAAAGAATGGGATTAGTAAAAAACAATAAAATTAATTTATAAGATGGGAAAGGCTTTACTATGTACATTTATATACTACAAGAGTAAAAAATAAATCTACAATTATACGTATTATTTTATCAGAATTAATGTCTATATAATCTTAACACAAAAAAATTTCAAACCTGTATAGACATAACTTTTAAAACTAGCTTTTGAAACAAAAACTTCAGTACAATAGAACTTCAGATAAATTGGGATGGTTACATTTTTCATGAAAAATTAAATAAGAAAAAGACTCATTGTTTGCCGTCACTGACACTAAAATATACCTGCTGCATGATGGACACGATTGGCACACAGTCAAATATAATATATAATAGCTTCAAAAGAGCAAACTGGCAAACATATTTTTCTGGCTTCATTTATTTATTTTTATCCTTGAGGTGATAATCGAAGTCCAGATAATTGCAGTGTTCCCAAACTGATTCCAACAGTCTAAATTGAATTCACCAATCCTACCTTCCAGAGCTCCGCTAGTTCCGTTGTAGACGTGAGCGCTTCCTCCAGTACGAAGCTCATGACCAAGAACTTGTCCTTGAGTAGAGAGTACGGCGCGTGGCCGGGCTGTAGCACCACACACACCGTGGTGGAGTTGCTAGGGTGAAGCACTCCAGCGCTCGGCCGCACCCGGAACTTGTCTGGCGAGGTAGTCTTTATCTGGAGGGAAAGTTTGAAATTTACCTCACACTCTAGTTATGCGTACTAGAAAGTCTAAGAAATGTTCTTTACAAAATATTCATTTAGTTTTTTCTCTTTCTTCAGTCATATCTGTTAAAATTTGACTCATAATTGTCTTTAAAACTATACGGTTTACCTCCAAGCTGAGGTAATGTAGGATATATCCCTCACCAAACCGCAGATTGATGGCTAACCACCAGTAGTTATATTTAAAACATGTGGATGTTAGATGTTTGTGTTAAAACTTTTCACAACAAAATAATTAATTGACCCTTTTCTAGGTAAAGATGAATATTCTTTTAGCTTTGGAACTGTACCTTGTATGTTAACGTCTTGTCACTTATGTTCATGAGGTTGACGGTTCCTGTCAGATCGGCCCCGTCCTGGCTGAAGACAACAGTGTCTGCTGGACTTACTCGCAGTTTACTCACTGTAAATGTGCAGAACAATGACATAAACAAATAACCTCTGTCAAACTAAACTGTTCTATTTCTACACTAAATGTTTTGTAGGATGATTACTTGTTCTTTCACCAACAAACATTCATATGCAAGCAAAGTCAATTTTGTACTCTAAATATTTGCAAAGAACAAAAACATCGGAAATGTTTAAATCCAACAACAAAGAGGTTTCAAAACGAGGTAATGTTCGGTAAAGCTGTAATGTTCTGGCAAGAATGAGCTTGATTTAGATCTGCACAAACCAATCTCACAGTAAAACCTGTATATTCTTGGATTAGCACTATGCCAGTTAAATGTTTAGAGCAATAACAGAAATCGCTATATTAGTTGCTACAGTTTGGAAAATTTACAATGATTTTGGAAATAAATAAACAGTGAGCACGTAAATAACACATTACAGTACTTAGTTTAATTTGATTTACAATGTCTATTAAAATATTTTTTTAAATATTTAAAATAAGGGTACTATGGTTAATTATTTCTATGAACACTAAAACAGTAGACCTAAAAGTGAACATTACCTCATAATATATATACATATACTGTAAATTGTAAAAAAAACCGCAGCCCAACCTACGGTTAAAATATTGAGATATAACATGAATGTATTCAAATGTGAATTTTAACTAAATTACTTTCAATATTTATTAGTTACTGTATTTTCAAAAAAATATTTAAATTTAATTAAATATAAATTAGTGAAGAAGAAAAACTATATTCAAAAATAATATCCTAAAATGAAATGGTGTCTAGGTAGGAAATATTTCTTATGTTCTGTCCAGTGTCCAGGTGTGAAATAGCATTGTTGGAAAAAAGCTAAAACAAAGGAAGAAATGTGCTTTTGGTGAAATAGTTGGAAATGGATGTGGGAGCCAAGTCTCCAGTGATTAAACATTCAAAAGTCTATAAAATTAACATTCAGATCATATAGAAATATCGATTAGCCTATAAAGAGAAATCAAGAAAGAAGATAAGTATTCAACAAAAACTGGTAGTATCAAATTCAATAGACATTAAAAAATCACCATTAATTTCCAACCACCATCACACACACCATTGTGAATAGACAAAATTCAAGTGATTGTTTCAAACTAAGAACTTATAGCCTAAATTTTTGACTCTCATTATTATCTCATATTATTTAGCCTACATTAGTATAAATTAACTTAATTAGTCTATCAGAATTTCATACCCGGCACGAACCAACCCGTAGATTAAGATCATTGCTATCAAAATTGTTAGGCCTATCTAAAACTTAGCCCATCTATAAAAACCTAGAGACCAAAATATAATTTAACTGTCATAGCCTCATGAGATTGATGTAATATAAGCTATAGAACCTAAATACATCTTATTATAACTTTATTGGAATTTTATTATCTATTTTAAGTAAATTTATATTTATGAAATCCATTAATAAAGAGGAGTAGGTTGCAATATCAAAATGGAAATTTTTTTGACAAAAGAGATTGGCAGTTAAAAAGAGTGACCATCAGTCAAAGTTTCACTAATTTCCATACGTACTAGATAAATTTAGTAAATAAAACTTACTCGATGCTGGTGGATTGTCAGGATCAATGTCTGAAAATGGAGCAACTTCAACCATGGGGGATCCATCTGCAAAATGAACCTAAACATAAAACATTCAAATAGTCCAAAGTAGAAAGAGGATACTAGGTCTTCGTCAAATTGACCACGTGATAAAAATAAATGGTTCATTAACATCAGGAAGAATGTTTTCAAACATAAAATGTGAGAAAAACATAAAATATTTTATGAATTTGATTCACGGGTCAACACAGAACACACTAAGATAAATAGGAAAAGTTTTTTGTGGCTTAATTTAGACCATGTCTTTTGTGTTCAATTCATGTTGATAGTCTTGTAAATATTTCATCAAGGCAACACTAATTAAACAGGCCGTAATGCTCCTCAGGCATTTTTAGTTTTGTTTTTGTTATCCAAGAAAAGATTAAAACAAGCAGCTGACCACAAACGGCAAACAATACATCATTACCGTCGCCTACTATGATTTCATGCCTGAGTAGTATTACGGCCTGTTTAATTAGTGTTGCCTTGATTTCATGATGAGGATTTTAAACAGGATCATTTCTCTTGCACCTCTTTTAACAGTGTAACGGGGAGACCCTCTTTTAACGTTACAGAGAAACGGGGTTCTACCCTATCGAATGATACAATTTAAGCAGTCCCTGGATTACTTTTATCAGAATTAAGATGAGGACGCAACTGAGCGTTTGGCTGTTTGATTTATGTTTAACCATGTTAATATATTTTTTTTACTTTATTGCTTGCATCCTTACTAAGCTTAGCCTTCTATTGACATATTACTATTAAGATGCTAGCTCTCATTGTATTTTGGGGACCGAGCAGGTTTTTACATCCCCGAGGGCCAAAAATCAGCTGCCCGCTTCCTTTCTTAAAACATTAATGCATATACACAATCAGTATCTATAGCTTTGGAAGAATTGTTTTATTGTCACGGCTAGCAACTATTTATTATTATTTTTGCTGATTCCTCAAATTATTTCTTCACATAACCTTAGAGTTGCAGTTGTGTTGACTATTGGTGTACATTATTATTGTGGTGAAGGTGAATAGTGGTAATAGGGTATAGTGTGGTGAAAAATAGTGTTCGTACCACGGACCGAAATGGTTTTGCAGCTCTCAATCGTTAACCGGCTCTCTTAATAAACTATCTCAAACCGGCAAAACCTCATTTTCGGCCATAGGTATGAAATATACTATTAATTTACTGTATAATGAAAAGTGAACAAGCAGTAAAATATATTTCATAAAATACTCAAACTAGGTAGGCCTACAACATAATTATAAAAATTATAGATCTTCAACTTCTAGTATACGTTACATTAACTACTTCAGCAAATGTTCAGTCCAAATTCAAACTATTTCTATCTTTGAAATCTACTTGCAAATGAGAGTTAGAACAAGTGATTTGCTAAAATGTTTAAATATTTGTCTACATTTATGAACGATTTAAATGGAATGATTTAAAGGTGGCAAGTACCAACTTCAAATGAATAGAAAATATTTATTTAAATGAATTTTGTTTACTTTTGTTAAACCTCAGTTTAGAGATTTGTTAGGTACTTGGATAAAAAATTAACTAAATCATATTTTAAAATTTTTCAGGTAAATTTAGCAAAAGTTTAATCAGCAAACGAAGAATATTGTCCACAAGAAAGTTGCAAGTTTCATTGTTAATTAGAAATGTGCCACTACGGTTTGACCTCTATAACGGAAAAATGTCACAGTCTGACTAGTGCCAAGTTTGGAAAAGGTCAACAACCGAGTTTCTACAAAACAGGGATTATAACTTGTTATTTAATCACAAGCAGTGGAACGATAAGTTGACTATATTGTAGAATACGTACTTCATTGCACTTGAGATATTACAATTTGAATTATCTGAAGTCTTTGATCCCTTTTCTACATTCAAAAACTAAAATAATTTTATTTCCATTAATTTTTTCCAATTTCTAGATTCAATTTTTTGCTTGACTCTTAGATTATTTAAATAGTTTTATGTCCCATAGTGGCCTAAAAATTAAACTTATATTTGAGGGATTTCTTCTGGAAATTGTACTACGTAAAGCTCACAAACTTATATTAAACACAAATATTTAAACTGAGGTAATTTTCTAAAAATTAAGTAAAAAATAAGAAAATGATAAGTAAATAACATTAAAATACAGACTTTTTGTTTCGATACGTTGATTAAGACTGTCAAGTCAAATAAAATAAACAGAGAAAAGGGATTTGTATCAAAGTAATGGCACTATAAAAAGTAAAAAAAACACAACAATCCTACTTTTATAAAATGCATCCATAAAATATTTATCAAAAAAAAGTAATTAAATCTAGAAGTAAATTCTACTCAAACAAAAAATAATTTCAGTGGTTGTACCTGCACTTTATTACTTTCACACATTTTAAAAACAAAATTCATCAATAAGCATAAAGTTCCAGTTTACATGACATTTAACATTTTGTTTTTAAAAGCCACAGAGTTTATTAAGTAACAACACCATTATCCTGAAAACAAACATAATTGACAAGAGTAAATAAAAATGAGGAGTAAATCAACGATTCTACCCGAGGGAACGGCACAAAACTGAACTCTGTATCATTATCTTACACAAACACTCAAGGTAAACTGTATAGATAAAACACTATGATACCCTACATTAATACTTGCTCTGGGCCTTAGCTATCTTGAGCGTTCAAAAGTGCTCAATTCAAAAGCATGGATAATATGTTGATAAGTGATCGTTTTTGGCAGTGTTAAGTTGTCTATTCATAACAAAATTATACCAAATAGCATTGATTCTCCTCCTTATAGTTAAGAAAACATTTAAACTAAGTAAATCAAATTTATTTTAGAAAAAATAAAAATCCAATAGAATGAATAGCTATTTACCTTACAAGAATAGTAAGAGCGTTTTGACATCACGCAGGTTGTGCAACGAGCGGAAGCGAGTTGCATAATTCACCTAAGTGATGTAAACACGCTCTTGCGTAAAGTGTAACATACAAGATTTTACCTGACCCAACAATATATAGGGGGTTACGTACAATATTTTTCATTAACCATTTCACTCATCTTCTTACAGTAACGTTCTTTTACAAACAAAAGCTAGGTTAGGAAAATTCTTTAAAGCATAACAATAAAATTCAAGTCCACAGCTGATTTCTAGCGTTGAACGTAGTTGGCTCCATAGAGGTATATTTTTTTAAAGTTGAACACTCAATGTTATTTAAATGGGTTTCATTACTTCACCGAGTGAGTTTATGAAACTTTACTTCACCAGTGAAGTAAAGAAGTTATATACATCACGCTTGGGATAGGGAAGTTTAACATGGCGGGTTAGGTAAACAAATAAACACCTGTTTCAAGACAATAAACATGCTATAGTAAAAAGTAAAACAAATGATTAGAAATCAGATCTGGGTCTTTGGAAGATGAAAAGCCTCGTTGAATCAGCAAAATAATGTTGTAGTCATTTATCTTCAGGGCAAGCTATAATTATCTGAGTAAAGAGTTGTTTCAGCAACCACACAGAGTAAAATTGAACTGTGTCTTTAGGATGGTTTGCTGAAGCTCATTAAAAAAAGCAAGTATTTCCAAAAATTTAATAACACCATCATCTTCCAAATACCAAGATTATGCAGGTTATCTTTACCGTAGTAGCCTACTTCCTAGTTCTAACAAGTAAAAATGTTTATAGGCTGTCCCTTAAAAATTCCAATACTTTTGATTTACGATATAAGACAATCTTAAAAGAATCTTGAAATCCATTAAAAGTAAAAACAATATTTAATTAAATTTCTTTATTTTTTCTTTATAAAGTGGGGCAACTAGGAAGGGAAAATTTGACAGCCCTGTATTGTGTAATGTAATTTGTATCACAGTATGTACAAAAATGGCTGGAATAAAAAAGAATAACCCTCAGACAACTTAACACTTAGGAATCAAATCAAACAAGCCGATAACCATTTAAAACTTACTTTTTTCTTGTATTCATCCAGTCGTACTGTCGGTGTGTCCAAAACTTCAGGTATGAATTTATAAGTGTAGTCATCAAGTCCACCCCAACATGTAAGAGCCTGGTCCGCTTCAACATAATCTTTCAATGTGTTCTTAGACACAAATTTGATTTTCTGGACAGCTTTTGTCGGTAACCAACCCTTTATGATTTTGAAAGTGGCTGAAATCAATAAAAATATAAAATAATATGGATACAAAGAGATTTATGAATATATATTTCCACTGTTGGTTCCATATGAATTAAAACACTACTACTACAGTCTGTTTAGTGTTTTGGTCTTATCATTATCCCTTACTTTCCCTCTATGGTTAAAAATGTTTTGTAAGCTAATCCAACAATCAGGCAGGAGATTGTTACGTTCAATCGTTTTTCATTTATATGAATGTTTTGTGTTAAGTTCAAAACTGGTTCCACTTTCCCACTTGTGTACCCAAAGCTACATAGTGGTTTGGAAGTCAATGGAGAAGATTTTGTTTCATTATCTTCGCAATAAACGACAATTACTTTACGATAATACTTTACTGTAACCACAAAACGCAAAGCAATGAGTTCTTGTTCATTATCATTCACAAAAATGACTCCTTTGGATAACACCTTTTTTTAGAGAGATCGTACGAAAACACAGAGGAAGTTCAAAAAACCCTGTCATATTTTTAATTCATGTGACATCATATATTGAAGTTATCTCTTTTGTACTAATGACAAACAAACCAATAGGCTAGCAAGATCCGAAACTCATATTTAAACATTCAAGGTTTTTAACATTGAGTTTTGGGTTACTATACACTCAACTTTTCTTTTGTATTTACACACTTTACTCGCTTATACATATAGTATCTAAATCTTATGTAGGCCTAGTTACCGTTTAGTATCCAGGGTATTTCAAAGATCAGGATGTAGTTCAAAAAGTCTGGATAGTAATGCTTGAATAGACTTATTAGATATTTGATATACTCCATCTCAATGTTGTTCAGTCCAGTCTCTGCCATGTCGAAGAACACTGTGATTTGTTCACCCCTGTCTTTTCTAAAACAATAGCAAAACACATAAGACATTATTTTAATCAAGTGGATTGGTAATGCTAATAAAATTATTTTTAAAAAAATTGTGTTAAATAGCTTGTTGTTGGCGTTTCATTCCAGCCCACTCCAGGTTTTATTCTCATGGGGTTGATAACTGGAGTCATGAAGGGGCTAACACTCTTTTAAGAAAGATAGGTACACTGAGCGTCCATGTTCAAAATGTGTCATTCGAGAGAGAGCTAAGATAGAACCAATGTGCAAGAGATGTTTACATTGGATAACCTACAATATAGTAGCTATCCAACGCTGTGATACAATGTTGTACACACCTTGTAGAATAGGCCTACCTTTTTTTTATGGGACCCTATGACAGCTTTTATTTTGCAAAACAGTAATTGAGCTAAGGGCCAACTCAATACCATAATAAAACTGCTCCACAACAAAAGGATGGAGCACAAAAATATAAGTTGCAAAAAAAGATCTTATATTAATACACCTACCTTTCGGCTCTTTCAAACCAGTAAATGACCATTCGTTTTAGCTCCTCAAAGTCTTTTGTGCCTTTTACATGTTTTTTGCACTTTAGTATGAGCAAACTTTTCCCATCTTTATCTCGATTCTTCAGAAATAAACTTCCCTCTTCAAGATATTCCTTGTTCACATTGTTTTCATTTATGTCTGAAAAATAAAGAGTAAGTTACAGAATTGATAATAATTACACTAATCTTAAATACAGGTGACAAAACCACCCACGGCCACACGGTTTTAGTGTGTACAAAACTATAGGGAACGGTTTTAAGGGTTGTGTTAACTTCTATATGTTATTTTTATGGCAGTTTTCTAATATCTTTGGCAAAATTTGTCACATTTATTTTGTAAATTACTGAACAATAAAAAATTAGAATAAGATCAATACTAATAAAAATACAAAAAATCAAATTGCATCTTCACAGCCTGTCCTCATTGTGACTAGCCTGATACCTGATGCAAATTTGTGATTTTTCCGCTGTTTATTAGGGTATTTTATCTTTAAACTTTTTTTGTTTTATTGGAAATTGTAAATGCAAAAAAATAAGTGTTCTTGGAATTTTCTCATAAAATCCGCCATTGGTGTTTTTGGACTGGGACGGGTGGCGTCGTCCTGTAATCCAGCTACTAGGAGGTCACGAATTGTGGATAATTATAGGGATGCACTGTGGATGCGATGCTCCCTGGTGTGGATTAACGTCCGCACCAGTGAGTACTACGACTATCCGCAGTACTATTCTAATAATTAGACCCATTCGTTAATTACGAGGAAAAAATGTGGTTCGGATTCCACAATAAACTGTAGGTCCCTTAGTTGCCATTAGCTGTACCTATGGGCTATTAATTAACAGCTGTGTTTAAGGAACATGTCAGCCTTAGTCACTAACAAGACTACAAGATCGTATAATACTCATCCTACACTCATCCTTCACTCATATTTGGGTTAAAATACGCACATAGTGGCGTCCCCATCTTAAATAATTGATAATTGATAATTGATTGAATTTGAAATGCCATTTGTGTAATTAAATCATAATGACGGCTGAACAAATTGAAGCCAAACTTACCAGGGATATTTTGACAAACAGTGAGCTTGTATTTAACAAACAAATTTCAATTTTATAATGCCTGTACAATTTAATACCCCCGCTGCAGCAAACCTGCAGACTAAGCAAATTTCCATTTGCCTGATTGGATTTACACTAAAATGCCTCCTGAAAAATATCACATTTATTCCCTATTTAAATAGAATTAGTTTAATGAGTACTTGGGTTTGCTGCAACAGGGAGGGTAAAAAGGTGTTTTTTGTTGTAAAATGTAAATAGTTTGGTAAGAAATGAATGTATTTTACATATTCAATTCTATCAAAATATGTTCATAAGCAAGCAAACTACAACAGTTGACTTATTCTCCATAAGAATAACAGGGGAATTTTAAATTTACAGTTTTTAGGAATTTTCTCCGTAACCATTAGGCGCACAACAACGCTTCAATATACTAAATTATTTGTTTTTTTAAGCTCTACAAAATGGTTTGGAAAGAAATTGTGAAATTTTGTGTTTTTAGGGTAAAAAATGGGAAAACCTATTTTTACCCCATAAACCCCCGTTCCCATAGTCCGATCATGCTGGTTCGCGAACTCGTTTGAATAAATGTAGGTTTACACGTTTATACCAAATTTCATCAAAATCGGATCATTTTTGCTCGAGTTATCGTGCTAACGGACACATTATATATATATAAATATATTTTTTCTTCTTTTTTTTCTTTAAAAAAAAGAGGTTGGCGGCCTCTTTTAACCTTGCATTTGCCCGTCCACATAGACTAAGCGCCCGTGCGTGGATCGTTTACAGCAAAGCAAGGAGTGAGCCGGTACAGTACAAAGGTGAACTGTAAACTGATAAAATGTTATCGGCAGTGACCAGGATCCGAACCCACGACACTACTGCCTTGGGCCCGAAGTCCACGACGCTACCGACTAAGCCGACTCACTCAATATATATATATATATATGAATTTGAACGGATGGTGTTTTTGGCCTCTAGGGACCTCAAAACGAACAAGTAAATCGGTCCCTGGTCCAGGTCTTACCATGAGTACTACGGTAATAGCTTATTCCTTATATGGGAAATTCGCTAAAACTAACAAAACTTTTCCATTTTCAACATTAGCCTTATGAGTTTCTATGATGGTTACGAGATAAAAACGTAGGTGTAAAAAAGAATCATAGCATACATACTTCTTAAGTTATATGAACTGAATTGAATAACTATCATTTAACCTACCATAATATCATTTTAAACCTCATAATACAAACTGTAAATAGATTCATGTTTGACTGAGGACTCAAAAACCAAGATTTGCATTATACATCTTGGATATTTATTTAAATTAAATCAAATTTGCTTATAGCCTACAAGGATCTATTTAACTTACCATTCACTTTGTTCTCTCTCCTCCAATCACAAGTTTCCCAAAGCATAGTAAGAGCATCTTTCATGTCCATGTCGTGATGGACGAGAAATCTCTTGAGCCAGTGGTCCGAGTTGCTAACTCGTGCTAGGTCAGCTGGATGGAAATATGCTAAAAAATGCAGACGGTAAAAATTCATATTATCTTCAACTTAAGGTGTTGTTTTACAGACATAGACATCGTAATACTATGGTTTTGCATTTCTCTAACAATAGGTAGGTATGTTATTTGTAAAGAATCATTATTTGTTTGGATCTAAAAAATATAAATACCCTAATTAAAATTTTAATAACACTTCAATTTCAACAATTTTCAGGGAGAACCCCTGTAAATCTTTCTTTTTAGCACCCTAAGACCATTAAATGTAAGAATCTGATTGAATTAACAGGCAGCTCCCTAACTCTTGTTATATATGTTAATATAAATGTTAAAAGTATTGTATGGTTCCATATATCCTAATTGTAAAAAGATACCTATTTGGCTACAGTTCCCAAAAGAATATGAAACATATATTATCGGATTAAATGGGCCATTCTCCAGATAAGGACAGAAACACTGTCACCTGCATATAAAAAATAATAACGATTTTTTAATCATTTAAAGTGTAAAATTATTATTTACCTAGCATCAATATTTACCTATTTGTCAAGTCCATATATGTTAACATTTCAAATAATTTTCCAAAAATATCTGTCCACGGAATGTGACAAGTCACTTCTGTGGACAGTGACCATTTATAGTTTTGGCTAGTTTATATTTCAAATTTACTCTAGGCCTAATATTTTATTTAAAATATTGAGAGCTGTAATTATAAACTATAGTAGTCAGGAACTATAATCCCTACAACTTTTATCTTCTTTTATTAAATCATATTACAAAATAATAAAATGATACCGGTACTCTGTCTCCATTGTGAGCAACCACTTCTGTGGACATAACTAAGAAGTTCTATTTATTGCCACCAGGCAGCTAACGGTGACATTATCGGTAATATGCTATTTTTCCGTAAAACGGCCAGCAATACTTTTTATAAGGTGAGCGCACTACTTATTGCTGACTTTCACGTCCCCCCTTTTCTTCACTAACTTACTCCCCAGGTTACATGATATTGATACTGTCGTGTCCGTTTAAGTGTCCTCTATCTGGTGACATTATCAATATGTTACAATAAGTAGTGTGCGCGCCTTCTAAAATCTATTGCTGGTCGTATTTTTCCGCAAAACGGCCAGCAATAACTTAGATTTTAGAAGGCGCGCATACTACTTAAGTTAACTTATTGCTGAGTTACATTATTGCCAGGTTCACACCACTTGTTTTTGTACCGTTTTAATTAGCCTAAGTTAACTAAATATTGCCTAAGTTAACTTAGCCAATATTGAAATATCTCAAGATCTCAGCCTAATAATCAAAAAAGCTAACTTATAGGCCTAACTTAACTTACAACTTTGAAAGCTTAAGTTTAGGCCTAAAATAGTAAAATGATTAGGCTATATTATGAGGTGTGGTAATGCTAAAAAACCAATAGGCATAGCCTATGCCAAGTGTTTAGCCAAAGTCTTAAATATTAATCAGCGTGCGATTAAATATTAACTTAGTCCTCTTGGTGCTTAACTTAGCCTACTAGGATTTCTATCACAAAAAGTAACCTAGGTCTACATTAAATCAATGTAGGCCTAAGGCTGCACTTTACTTGACGTCCTACACTCATTCGAATGAAAATATCGATCGATATATCGATTAATCGATTGCTTCATTCGATATATCGTTTGGTTAGTTAGGTAAGGTTAACCTAACAAAACTAACCAAACGATATATCGAATGAAACAATCGAATGAAAATATCGAATCGAAAAAACAATTGAATGAGTGTAGGACGTCAAGTAAAGTGCAGCCCAATGTAATTGTACAAACCTTTAGTATTACCGTACTCATTTTCTAGCTTCTCAAAAAATTTACTCCTGAGCTCCTGAATTTCATAAGAACTTGGTTCCATAATGTTCAAAACTTCAAAATGTAATTAATAGTGGGCCTAAAAAGTCTTGTTTTGCATGGATATAATATTCCCGTTACTTTAGATTTGCAAAATTATGACTAAAACCCTTTGACGTTTCATTCGTTTGAAAGTTTATTGACCCATTTGGATACTTAGATCTAAGATCTAACATAAATCAAATCATAAATCACAATCACAACACAATACTGTCTGTCCAGGTTGTCTTGTTGGACGAAAAAAATTGACATAAACTCTTATTAGCTTACAATTAATTAATACTGATTACTAATCGACGCCAAGCCAAAGATGAAAGAAAATGAAAAACAGACGCACACTGCACAGCAAGCTACACAAACACAACACAACAGTTGTATAGTAGCAGAAGATATCTAGAATAGTTAGTTAGTACTACTGTTAGTAAGGCACCAGCTGATTCTTCTTGTCAGCTGACTCGTTTCCTGCAGTCGAAGTCGTCAAAGTTCCAACCATTGAGTATATACGTACCGCTACATTTATGCATCTTCTATATAATTAATACGCTACATGAAACTTTGTCGGTTGAACTCCTCCGCCATTTCTTAACCGATTTTATCCATTGACGTCTCATTGGAAAGAGCGTGTCACGTAGATTTGCAAACTGGCCTTACATTTTTGAAAAAGCGCTTCGGGCTATGCCCCAGTGGCTTTGAAAGTTCCCATGTTATCCTTATGGAGAACATAATTGTTTAAATTTTGATCAGCTGTTGTTATTTATTTTTCAATTCAACAAAACGCATTGACTACATTTATTTACTATTTGAGTTTGTGTACACATACAAGACGGATCGTGTTAGTATGGTTGTATCTTAAATTTGTGTATTTATCGTTGTTTTGTGTCACTATGACGGATCGCGTTAGCATGATCGAAACTTACATTTGTGCATTTATCGTTGTTTTGTGTAGCTATAATTTGTTTATTTGTTGTTTTTTTTCTTTTAAATGCCTCTGACGCGACGACAACGAAACATAGACAGGAGGCGTAGTCGTGATAACGACCGCAGCTACAGGAGGCTTAACTCATCACAGTCAGCACCTGACCCTGGACAATCTCAAGTATTAGGTTACAAATGCGCCCTAACACTACCCCAAAACGACTTTTCGTTCCCCATTGGCCCTCTATCAATGACCTGTGTTGCCTGTACAGCGAGGCATTTTGAGAAGGAGAAAACCGGCCGGAATGCTTTAGGTTTATCAATTACAAAGATAAACATGGTCTGAGTTACACACCGGTAATCTTTGAGTTGACTCTTTTCAACTCATTGTAAATATGACTGTTATTCGTTTTGAAATAACTCCTGTAATACTTTGCAATTGCTCGAATTCGAGCAACATGTACACTAGTGTATAATAATGTAGAAGTACGTGTATACTCAATGGTTCTGATAAATCATCCCCGTTTCCTGCAAATATCATTTTATATACTGTATTATATAATTTGCTGTACATTCCTTTGAAAACAATCATGGTTAAATTTTAAAAAAAATATGGTACTTACGTATTATACGGAGGCCACCCTTATACAGCTCGCTGTGGCGGTTAGGTTAGGTTGGGTTATCATAAGTTTTTATGACTCATCTCGTATAGTTCGATTCATAACGAAACTAGGAAAGTTCTACAAACATATTTATGATAACCCAACTTAACCCAACCGCCGCAGCGCGCTGTAAAATAAGTGGCCTCCGTATAATACGTAAGTACCAAAAATATATATATCGACTATCAAGCTCTGAAAATAAAACAACACACCTTTTAGGCCTATCACTTAAACGTAACTGGTATCTACAATCATTGCTATAACGTATTCTACGATAATCAATGGACTGCAAGGTTTTAACCAGTATCTGCTTCTCCAATTACCTCAGTACAGTAGAGGAAGGCATACCTCACAATGTAAAGTCATTTTGGTCACATATGTGAAAAACCTAAAGAGCTCTCCTACTTTTCCCTCAAGATGGTCTTCGAATCAGCAAACGCTACCGAAGCTGACGGAAAATGTAATCTCTTTGTATAGTATTTTTCATCGGTGTTTATGGTGACATGGACGTCAACGTGCCTATCTTCGACTTTGGTCTGGACCATATACCATCAATGGCTGCATTTTTTCGGCGATTGATGTCCAAAAGAATTAGGGTCTTGACACTAACAAGAGGGCTGGACCTGATGGGATTCCACCCGCAATTCTTCAACATTGTGCCCAAGTCCCTGCCCCATTCCCACACCTTACAATCTACTTTAAAAAACTTCTTGATGAGGATGAGGGAATTTTTCCTTCCACGCTAAAGCAAAGTTATGTTGTGCAGGTTGTGCCCATGTTCAAGTCTGGTAGTATCAACGATGTGAGTTACAGGCCAATTGCCATTCAACCATGCTTAGCTAAAGTACCGGTATATGAAAGTCTTGTCCTGGATTATTATTTACTCTTCAAACTGAACAGTTTTATCGTCCCTGAACAAAAAAACATGGCTTTCTACGCGGTCGTTTGTCCTCTACAAACCTCCTAGAGTCTTTCAAAATCACATTATGTCAGCATTTAGTTTTCCCAAGTAGACTGCATATATCTTGACTTCAGCAAAGCCTTTGATACATCACCTACTTTTTAGCAAAGTTGGAAGGCTACGAAATATGTGGATCTCTACTGCTGTGGCTAAGAATTTATTTGAGTGATCGAGAACTCATTGTTAAGTGTGATGGAGGCTTCTCTTATCTGTTCCCTGTTCCGTCAGGGGTGCCTCAGGGGGGTCTCACCTGGGTCCTCTGCTGTTTGATATTTTCATAAATGACATAAGCAAGGCAATATCATCCAATTTTCTTCTTTTTGCTGATGATATCAATTGTATTTGCGAAGGTAACATGCTCAGCAGACTCCCAGGACCTACTCAACCATAACATTGAACACGAAAAAAGTATACATTTTTTGGGTCTGACAGTAGATCAAAATCTGAATTGGGACGAACATGTTCATAAAATGTTGGTCAAAATTAATTAAGGAATTCACGCATTATCTAAAATGTCTTATTACTGTGATCTGAAAACATTAAACAATATTTATTTTGCCCATGTTCACTCTCATATATTGTTCTGAGCGCTGTATGGTTCAACAAAAAAGTTAAATTTGGAAAAAAATATTAAAACAGCAAAAACGAACAATCATGATCATGCTTAAGATAGAGCATAGATAAAACATACTCCCGTTAGAGTATGATGCATCAGCAAAAGAACATTTCAAAAATCTAAATAATTTAACTGTTTACGGGCAATATATTATTGAAACTGAAGCTACTCTCATTGCAAAGAATTGTACAACTATCAATTTTAAGTCCCCAGCTCATTCGTATAATACTAGAAAGAGAAATGAGGTTATCCTGCCACATAGATTAAAGGTTTTTGAAAAGAAACCAACCTACATAGGATATACTTTTCTTAAATATATTCCAGAAAACATAAGAAGAGAAAATAATTTAAATAAGTTCAGGAAATTGCTGAAAGAATATTTGATACAACTGGCCCCTTACTCCATAGAAGAATTTTCCACTTCCCAGATATAACCTACTGTAGATATAAATACTTTTGTTATTACTTTTCATTTTTGCTTGGAAAATTGTAAATAGTAGATTTTAATTAGATTTAGTATTGTATTATATATGACGCTATTTACTGTACAAACTATGTACAAAAAAATGAATAAAGAACTATGACTATGACTCCAGTCATTTCTGGATAAAATCAGTAAATGGTGTGATGAAATTGTAGTGCACCCCCTTACAACTAAGTTACAGCACAAATGGTGCCATTCTGAAAGTGGTTGATGGATTCAGAGATTTGGGCGTCATAACTACCCCTACCCTCAGTCCCTATTTGAGCATATCAACCAAATAGCAAAAAGAGCTTCGGCATCACTTCTTAGCTTAATTTTTCAATCAACAAAGGACTTTAAGAACACTCTCACACTTAAATTTCTTTACAAGACTTTGGTACGCCCCGTGTCAGTCTTTGCACATCAACATGCTTGATAAGATACAAAGAAGATTTATTAGACTGATTGGTCTCCGACTGGAGTACCACTTTCAGGATGTCCCTAATATCACACTGGAGAAATACTATGATTTGCAACAACTCAGTGTGAGAAGATGTTACGACTTGCAGTTTCTCTTCAAACTCGTGAATGCGATGATCTCATCGACTGCACATATTTGCTGAATAGTATAGAATTCTCTGTCCCTAGAAGAACCAGATCCGAAACTTTATTCGCTAGAGGGTTCCAAGCAAGAAACTACTCCAACCATCAAGGGGTGTCCAGGTTGCTGAGGGCGGGTGGAGAGGCTTCGACTTACATTGACTTCTTCGGGCTTTCTTCTTCCTCATTCAAGAGGGACGCTTCAAGATATTTGATATTTACTCGAGGGGACATCTTAAAAGCATTTCCCTGCCTTCCTATGGGGACGTGTGATGTGTAGTGCTTGTTTGAGAGGTGCCTTTAAAGGGCACAACCTTAGTTCTGTTTGTTTTGAGGCTGGTGTTACCTCAGTGAAGTGCGCTGCAAGCTATATAGGTGTGGTACCTTTAAAGGGCCACACATGAAAGTTGGTGCTTTTTAGCATGGTGTATGGTGTTGACACAGTGTCCTTTCCATGTCCACACACACACACTCCCACAAATTGCTGATAATACTTTTGTAATCTTTTGGTGTCTCTTATTATTATTTTACACAGTTTATAGTTGTTATCATAGTCTATTTTTGTTGGTCTTATTTTATTGTTGTAAAGTTACCACCATTACTGCTTGTTACTTGTTTTTTGTTACCTACCATTATTAATAGCCAGTCTACTTTGTTGTTATTTATTGTAGTTCTTAGGTCCCATTCTATATTTATTGTCAGTTCATTATTTATTATTATTGAATGATTTCTTAATTGTTACTATCGTGAGAACAGTTTATTTCATAACACCTGTTAACCCTTTACTTCCCGGAATTATGAAATTTAATAACAAAAAATTTTATTGTGAATTTTCTTTTTTTTTTTTGTATTTTAAGGCTGAAAATGTGTTTTTTTTTCAAATTTCCCTAATAGAATTAAAAGTTAGAAATATGTATCCATATGGATACCATGGAAACCTAAAGTACCATTGTTCGCTAATTTTCATACGTTAATAATTTTAATTTTTCTTTGACACTCCCATAGTGTCCATATGGATACAAGTTTCTTAAAAGTTTTATCAAATTGAAAAATAAGTTACTTGTTCATCAATTAAAACAAATTAATTTAGAATGAGTACAAATAGATTTATTATGTAAAAAACTTTACTACAATATC